TCTTTCCTTTTCCTTTGTTAGGCTTTGTTAGGCATTCCTCTTGCCTTTCCTTTGTTGCCTTTGTCTCCTCCTTTTGGCTGATACCATGGCTGCTGTTTTCCTTTGGACTTTCCTTTGTTGTATATGCCGTAGCCTCCATAGTCTTCTCCTTGTCGGTATCCTTTTCCTTTGTTGCCCTTGCCATATCCTTTTCCTTTGTTCTTCCCTTTTCCTTTTCCGTTGCCTTTGTATGTTGCTCCGATGTTCATTGGAGCTGGACCTCCTCCAAAGTTTGTGCTGCTGAGGACGAGTGTTGTTGGAGTCTTGAGAACGCTGTTCTGGTTCTTTAGTGCTCCATGATTGCTGCCCTCACTTCTGCATAAGTTGGTGTGGTGCCTGCGTTGAGGTGTAGATGTTTTTGAAGTGGTCCTGTTGTCTGGTTCATGAGGACTGCTATCTTCACCTGGTCTGGTAGTTGTGCACTGTGGTCACGCTCATAGCGGGCAAGCTCAAATTCCCATGTTGAGAAGGACTCTTCAAAGTTGTTGTTGTCGAATCTTGGTTTGAGAAGTTTTGTGAGGTATCCAATGCTTCTTGTTCCAACAGGTATTGCAAACCTGTTGCAAAGTTGCCTGTAGACTTCCAGGCCCAAACCGTTGCTGCTGCACCGGAGGTGATGCTGATGAGTATGTATTTGAGGTTGTTGCACAGTTGTGTCCACTTCTCTCCTTCTTCAAGTGTTGTTGCTGCAACTAGCAGCTCTGCATCTGTAAGCACTCTGTTGTTGCTCTTTCTGTTCTTGCTAGCAATTGTGGAAAAATGTTGTCCTGTAGGCCCATGTATGCTGAAAACTTGTGCTTCCACTCCTCAAATGTTGCATAACTTCCATCATATGTTGGCGGCCTTAGTTTCAGCCTGTGTGTTGATGCTGGGGCGTCTACTTATGATGCTCCTCCTGTTGGTATCCTGTGCCATGTGCCAAAGCCATCCTTGTTGTTAAGAGCCCCCCACACTTTGTAGCTGGGATCAAGCTCTCTGCTTGCGCACCTTGTTGTTGTTTGTGTTTATTGGGCTGTTGCTCCAGCTGTTGTTGGAGCCCACCTGGATGCTTCCAGGATCACTGCTCCGCTAACATGAAAAATTAAAGGGAGCAATGTTGAACTCTGTTGATGTCTCAGGTGTTGCTGTGCGCTCACACTCTTTTGTATCTGTTGGGAATCGCTTCAGGCTCAAGGGCTGTTGATCCAGAATGTTGGTGCACGCAGTGTTGTACTTAACGTAGTAATATGTATATATATATATATATTATAGAGAATGAGTAATATATATATATATTAATATATATATATCATATATATATATAGTAATACATATTTAACACGTGAATATATATATATGCAACACATGTATATATATATATATTATGTATGATATGTGTAAATAAATATATTACATATATGTACGATCATCTATATTTGTATAATTAATCATAAAATGCTATAGACCAGAAATAATTATTCTCAATCCGTCGCCACCTGACATTGGTTCGTCAGGGCCCACAGCCACGTCACCTGGGCCACTTTGAAAATGACGAAACAATGAGTCATTGGTTCGATCGTTTCTCTTCCGACGTGTTGCTGAAACACAGCGAAACAGGAAACGAATTGAACAGCTACCATCAAAAGACCACAGACTTGGTTTGAGCACCAAATGAGACTACTTGATTGAAGTTGGATTGTATTGAGGCTCCAACTGTCAACAAACATCCACAATCCATACAGAATCCTATAGACTCTTGGAGTTAGTTTTGTTTGTTTGCTTTGTGTGATTTCGTGTAGCATGGCTTTGGGCTGCCACGAGTCTCTGACAAGGAACGCACCGACCGATCAAAGAACGATTCCTTTGTCTGGCATGCCACGTCCAGCATCGCAGGCATCCTTCACACATCTTCACACGCAGCCGCACGCAATGAAAATTCAAAGGACAATCAAATCAAATTGCTGACTTTCTTATACTTTGTTCAACATTTTACTTGTTTCAACACTTCATCATCTGATTGCATCTTCATACATTCCTTGTTATTACAATTCATTACATCTACAACATCTTCAGCTTTCTGTTCGCTTCGCAGGTTGAGCCTTGGTTCTTTGTAGGGCTCATCTGGGCCACATGCCACATCTGCCATGTGGGGAATGTGGGGAGATGCTTGGCTCGTATGCCTCTTATGTCTCACCGCAGGTGGGGCAGCCGCGGACACAGAGGCAGGCGGCGGCGGAGGGCCTGCCGAAACATCCTAAAAAAAATCACGGTGTTTCCGAAACTCCGAAGGAAAAAAAACACAGAAACTTCGGGTCGCTCCCAACTGCTGCAATTTTACAACAAAAGATCAGGATTTGACAGAACTAATGAGAATTCGATGTCTATCTCCTGAAGTCGAATCCCTGATTCTAAAAGAAACATATATATATAACATATATATATATATAACATATATATATAATCAAAATTCGATCTAGAGCTGGCAAAGCGCCCAACAGAAAACACAGAAACAACTGGCAGCAAAAACTTCACTGCAAGAACTGACTGCAACGACAAGCAGCAAATTTTCAAACCAATTCTTCTGTGTCCCCGACCATGTTTTTGGCATGTCTCCTATCCAGCGTCCGTGGGGTTGAAACTGCTTGTTAATGGTGGCTGAACTTGCTCTCAATCATATATGATGAGCAGGGCTGCCTGATGGCGCTGGCAAAGTTAGACGAACACTGCATCTGTCATTGTCTACTTTGGCATGGCCTTCTCAACATGGAGCTATTACCGTGATCACTTCTGGACAAGTCGACCCACATCCGAACGTCGCGCAGGCGTTCAAAATCGATCTGGTCATCTTTTGTGCTTGGCAGTGCTTGGGTCACCTAATTCACACAATGTTGAGCGGAGTTGAGCCCTCCTAGTGTGGCCTAGTGTGGCCTAGTGCTCCATAGTTTGCGCAACATTGCAGCGACCTGGACCCAGCTGAGATCATCTCGTTTTTCTCGTTTTCCTCTTTTCAGATCTTTTTTCAGATCTTTTCAGCCTAGTTACCTCTTTTCACCTCATCTAGTCACCTCTCGTCACCTCTTCACCCCTGCATCTCCCTCCAACTCCTCTCCAGTTTCCAGATGTTTCCAGGCCAAGCGAAACAGCGCCCAATCCGTCCCAATCCGCCCCAGTTCACCCAGATCCCGCCACAGTTTCAATGGCATAGCATGGCATAGCCACAGCGCCGCAAGCATGGCAGGATGGGAGTGAACCATGAGGAACCCATGAAAGGAGAACACAGAGTCACAGATATACTTCAAATGTTCACATAGTTGTGGTATGTGGTAATATAAATGGGGTATATAAGTGGTATGAGGCAGTATGCCTGATATGCCTGGATCAGAGCAACTGAATTTGATTGAAATGTAAATCGATACCTTTGGAATCCTTTTTGGAATCCTTTTTGGAATCCTTTGTGACAAATTGATATATTCTGCGGGAGATTGTGTTCCTGCCTGGAGCCTTTGGGGCTGGAGCTTCTTCCTCCGAGGTCTCGTATGAGCTGCTCTCCTGTGACGCACTGATGGATCTGATGGATCTGATGGATCTGATGAGACAAATGGAAAAAGTAGGCAGCGGCAAACCATTTGGAATCTTATTGCAAAATCTTATTGCAAAATGTTGCAAAATGTTGCAAATCTCATGTCTTAGTGTCCTGAGGACGGCCCTCGTTGCCAGCAATGAATTTGCAAGCACGAATCTACAAATGTAGCATACTGCGGCGTTGCCATGTTGAGGTTGACTGAGGACACCTGGAAAAATGTACAGTACGAGATAGTCCGAGTAGTTAATTTCTTTGAACACTTTGAAAGGCTCAGCTCCTCGTCGCTGGGAGCAGGCCCATTACTTGGCATCGCGGGCATCTTTGGCTCGCGAAGAATACCCTAACTGTCACAGAGGCGTTTGGAAGAATCAAACTCAAAAACAAATGAATGGCATAATCATATATAATTATCATAATTATCATAATGACTCAAGCCGGGCTAACTCCTGATTCACGCCTGACCAAGTGACATGTGCATGATACAGCATGATCGTAAGAACATGCGGGAGAGCGCCATCATAAACACAAAGCCGGCGATTGTGGATGGGTGATGCAACTGTGACTGGGCTCCAACTGTTCCTACAAGTTCCTTTTTCGCACAGTGCATGAAGTTTCCCTCAAAGAGAACTTCTGAAAATGGAAAAAAGTGATTGTGGAGCGGTAGTGGCCCGGTAGTGCACAAAAAGAAGAAACAACAAACGTGATGAAATCAGGACAAGTGTCCGGTTGCATGGGTGTCCATCAGCAAGCATGGAGCTTGGCAAACCAAATAGTTGTCAGCCAAATCTAGACTCACAACTGGCTTATGATTCCAGGCTGAGCATCATAACTGGACCAACCAAATAGGTTCAGCAATGCGTTGGGGCGTGCACTGTAGACGTATAGCTAGCATCAATGCACCTTTTTGGGCCTTGAGACTATGTTTAAGATTGTTTAATCAATCCCCAACGCTATGGTTTAACCATGTTTAAACTTTGTTTATGTGGAAAAGCTTTGCCTACGACATTCCAACGACATGAACCTGTACTAGTGTCACTCAAGAGCTATGTCCATGGCATGGTACAAATGCCACAATTTACCCTTGAGTACTTGAGTACCTGAAAAGGTTGGAAAAGGCTGCAGTGAAGCTGCAATGAAATGGAAAGGTCATGAAATCTGCAAACGGAGACCTTTCACTAAACGATACTAAACGCATGCGACGCAGAATTTCTTCACAGATCTGCAGCTTTAGATTAAGCATAATAAAGCATGATCAAGTGTCATACTGTATTACATTACTATCATGCATTGTACATAGATGTACATAGCCCCATTATTCAAGCAATGCAGCAATGAGGGTCTTATCACATCGGGCACGACAATCTCGGACCCGGGACAAACTGGGCTCTTGTCGTGGCCTTTTTGAATCGCATCTTTGGTATTTAGCTGCAGTTTGCAGCTGCGGAAGACACCTGCACGTGTCGTGTCTCGCATTTGCAGCACACCGACAAAAGAAACGTTTTTGTTTAGAAACTTCCCTGACAAGCAAATTTAGGAATCGATGTAACCTGAGTGCCGTTTGACTGATTTCGGTGGTGCTTGTATCAACTCGACAGGCTTGAGATGACTTGAGTATGCGTGGCAAGTCCATTTCAAATGCCCAACTGAGTCAATGTCAATTGAAAGACTGACCACCTGAGCTCCAAATCCACTCCGTTTGTTCGTTGTAGCTCATACCGACTCATACCATTTGCACCTCTAGTTGTACATGTTCCTTGTCCGTTGGGGGCGTTTGCCAATGCTGCATGTCTAATGAGCTTCTGATCCGTGCTGCATGAAGACTGAGCATTTCGCACCTGCGAGTCTAAGTTCTAAGATCTCTTCTGGTACCTACCAGGAAGGTGAGTGACGAGGACTTGGAGACACGTGAGAACTTCATAACATGTCATAACCCTGTATTTTTTTAATTGCACAGAAAAGACACACGACCTTTTGATATTCATAGAGTTGACAAGATTGGAGGCGAGAAAAAACTCACAGAGAATGTTACACCTTTGAAGCAAAAACATGTAAAAGCAGGTTAAAGAACGTTAAAGATGTTATAAGATGTTAAAGCAATGAGAGATTCATTGTTACACGAGATTCCTCGGTGTTCCTTGGTGGATTCCTTGAAAGCGCTCTTCCAAGGTCTCCCTGTGGGAGCTTTGCGTATTGCGGCTGCCACGGATTGCCCGTTGCCACATGCGACGGGTTGATACGGGTTGGGTCGGGGTCCGGGCCCCCGGACTCTTCCTTGAAGGCCGCAACTTGGCCTCGGACCTCGAAAGCTTCGAGATGCTTCGAGAAAGCACCGGATGAGTTGGAAACTTCGGGATGATCGGAGATGACTTAGGAATGTTTAAAAAGGTTAGGAGGTGTAGGTCCTTTTTCGAGATTTCTCAATTATCAACCTTTCCAGAAGGGCACAGATATGTTCTGCGTGGTCAGAGCGCGACGTCCCGAACAGCCAATGGAATGCTGCCCCTCAACGGCTCTGATTGTCCGATTGATTTCTTTTTTCAAGTGCAACCCATTGCAACCCATTGCAACCCATTGCAACCCATTGCAACCCATTGCAACCCTGCTTACTCCATGCTTTATCAAACTTGATCAATGAAAGACACCAGCAGAAAGGCGTTGGAGAAAAAATACGTTCTTTGATGTATTGGATTTTCTCTTTAGAACAATCTTCTGACCTCTAATATTTTATCCAAATCCGTTCAATGCAGTGTGGCCGCAGACTGCACCTTTGGCGACTACTTAGCTCAGGAGATGCTCAAGCGCTCTGTAGATCACTTTAGATTTCCTTAGATTTCTTTATATCATTTCATCTCTTTGGATATCTTTAGATCTCTTTGGATCTCTTTAGCTCTCCCTAGATCTTTTCAGATATCTTTAGCCTTTAGCATCCTTTAGCCACTTGTAACCATCTTGTAACCATCTTCAAGCATCTTCCAGCATCAAGCCGCTGTGAGCCAACCGAGCCAACTGTCTCATGTCATCTCTGTCAATTTCAACTCATCTCTTCAATTCTCTTCAGTTTCAGCTTGTACTAGATAGTTTATGATAGTTTTAGTCTCTTTTGAAGTTTCCAACTTTCAAACTGCCACTTCTGCCACTTCAAGACTTGTTTCAAGTCTCTTTCAGCTCGTTTGACTCCGGCACCGCGCCGCATCGTGCCGCATCGCGCCGCATGTTGGACACATTGGACACGACACATTGGGCTGGGGCTTGGACTCGCTCACGGAGTCGGTCCAGCCTCAAGGCAAGACAAAAGCAGCAAAATGTAACAAAGATTTAACACACAGGACATCATAAGACATCATAAGACATCAAAAGACATCATAAGACATCGTAAGACATCGTAAGACATCATAACATTTATGTCATATATGTAATTAATGTAATATTATGTAATTAATGTAATATAATGTAATATATAAGTAATTCATTGTATATTAATCGTTTGATATGTATGTGTATTTGCCAATAAATTATATACCTAGAGTAACATCAATAAGAGAGTCACAAAAAGCAATGACAAACAGTCAAACACATTGTGTGGAAATGTTCGGCTTTTGCGGAAGGAGGAACTATGGCCCTTCGACATAAATCAGAATAAAAAGGTTCCAACATGTATCAGAAATACAAAGCAATCGCCACCAATCACTGCAGTCACCACCACAGAAGTTTGCCTGACAGTAGGTTGGAAAGAGCATGCTCGTTGGACTCGTTTGCATGACTGGGATGCCGAACCACTCGTTGGCCAAAGACAAAAATGCTTCAGAAGGACCTTTGCACTCTGCGCGCTGCACACTGCTGCGCATCACATCGGCTGTTGCTAAGTCTTTTGTAGCACAAACTACTTGAATGTACTTGGATAATCTTGGATAATCTTGGATATACATGGTAGATCTTGGTAGCTTGGTGATTATGTGATGCTATGTGATGCTATGTGATGCTATGTGATGCTATGTGATGCTATGTGATGCTGCACTGAAACCACAGCGCCGAGGCCGCTTCCAGAGCCCTTCCATCTCGCGTCCACGCGCAGCCTGCGACTCGACTGACTCGACTCGAGATCGTTTCATCAGAAGTCGAGCAAAGTCTGTCACCGGTCAGGTCTGATGACTTCTGATGACTTCTGTGAGCGAAAAGCTCGAGTAAAGTTGCCGCAGCTGTCACAGTCACATTGTCACATATTGTCACATATTGTCACATTCTCCTGGCCACCCTATTACAGTACCTGTCCCCTCTCTACGCCTCTACGCCGTCTACGTTTTTCTTCTGGGGCTGTTGGAATTCTTTTCGAATGGACCACAAGGAGTGCAGGACCACAAGGCCCCCCGGCTCTGCGCACGCGATGCCATCCATGATCTCTGGGAGGGACAAAGTCTTAGTTGGTAGAAAAAAGTTAGCCATGGACAGGTCACTCAGGCCTCCAATTTTCAAATTGCAATGAAGTCAAAACAATACAAATGACAATACAAATGTACAAATGCAAAGCAGCTCATGACAGAAGTTACGGGACAAGTGGGGACAAGTCATCTTTTGGATGCTTTAGACAGGCCAAAGTGTAGACAGCCTTCAGGTATGCTAAATGTCACTGGGCCCCGCAAGGCATTCTGAGATTGGCACCCCACTGAACTTGTCATCCCCAAGATTCATGGAGAAGCTCAAATCAGCTTCGTAGTTGAAACCTCGGAACAGTGAGTTGGGCTATGACACAGCATCGAAGGCTCGATGGACTCAATAAAACAGAATGATAATAGGGTAACATATGGTAACATGTTTGGATAAAAACTTGATAAATGGATTTTAAATGGATTTTACAGTAAATGGATAAAGCATGATAAAACCATTGCAAAATCAATCTCACAACATGTGACGATCTTGAAAGTCGAGAGACCATGGCGAGGCTGCTTCCGCACATAAACGATGTGGGCCTACACTGCGGTGCAATATTTTTGGATTTTTTGGTTGTGTTACCCGTGTTACACGCGTTACCCTTTACTGCCTGCACCAGAATCTGGCTCGTTTGCCTCTCGTTGGACGTCCAACCCTGCTCTTTCAATGCACATTTTGACCGCCCTTCCATTCCGTGTCCTTTTGAAGGTTTCGAAGTCTTCTTGCGCATGCATCTTGCACCCTCTGAAACCCTTTGTATATCTTTGTATGTTGTCTGGGCAGCCATATCAACATTTCAAGTATCGTTGTCATTACCCCATCTGGCCATATCTGGCCATTGCTTGCCTCTTATAATCTGATCACTTGATGCCATGAACGGCATTGAGATGCATTGAGGACTTGTTGGGATGTGTTATGAGTTATGAGTTATGATGTGTTGGATGTGGCGCTGCAGGCCTCACCCTTCACCGACTTCACCTTGCTGACCTTCGCCGTCACCTCTCCAGCACCAGCTGGCAACGTCACCTGAGAAGAGATCCAGATCCAAGCAGTCTTAACAAAGGGATACAAAGGGAACAAATCTAGTGGTATTCCCTCTGAAGTGCTGGCTACATCTGGCATCATCTGGCTACATTCGATGCTTATGACGTGCGTTTCCGGCTTCGGCTTTTGAAAATCACCAGGTCAAAACCATACAGCGTTCCCTCTCCATCTCCACAGTTTTCAGCTCGTTGCCCACTTGATTTTTTTATTGGTAGCTTAATGTAGCTTACAACGAGACATGTTCAATCAATTTCAATCAATTTCAATCATGTCAATCCGTAACGTCGCAATCTGTAATCGATTTCATCCCTCTTCTCCTAAGGAAAGGATTGAATGGGATTGGGATCCGTCCGTTGGCCACATCAAATTCACATCGCATGTCTCCATGTGTCTCCAATGGTGTCAATTGTTCAACCCTTCCTGACGCCTGAAGCGGCTCTCACTGAGGCTTCTCACATTGGAACCGCTTACGCAGGCATCTCCCAACCTCATGTGGAATATTGTGGAATCATTTCGGCGAAAACATCAACTTTAAGTTGCCGAAGTCGTCAGTATGATCGTTCTGTTTCTACTACTTCTTCATGAACAAATTCTGGAAGTCTGAAGTCAATGTCCTTCCCTCTGTTAGTCCCAAACAAATTGTCCAGGCGCGCAAGGCTTCCTGGTTTCGTTGCAGTTCTGTCCTACATCCACTCTTCTGCCAATGAAATGCCTTCCGCAATTTTCTAAACAAAATCCGCCCGGGAATCCCGTAAACCCCCAAAGCTGGAAGCAGGTCCGACATGGTGCAACGGTCCAACGTGGACTGTGGCGAGATGTGGCGAGTCGGTCCCAGGTCCCTTGCCATGCAGTGAGGCGCTCTTGTGCCCATGACCTCACCAAATTCTGCGACATCTCCCCTACCTTAGCTAACCCCCCCTCAAAATAATTTCCAAAATTATTTTCAGGGTGTTGATAGTGTTTTCGGTTGTTATACGATGAAACCCTCTTGAGTGTAAAATAATTACCCACGTTGGACCCCCCCCTCCCCCCTCATCTAGGGGGGTGGACCTTCCTAAAAATTATTTCAACCCCCGGGGAGTTAATTATTTTACCCCCCTCCGGACTAGTCCAATCTTTACATATGTATACTTTGGGACCCCCCCCTACCCGACATGATCGCCTTTACAGGTGCACCGGGGATATTCCATCCCTTCAAGAAAAACGCGGGGATATCAACCAGGTTCTGGAATATGTTTAAAGAAGACATGTTGTTGAATAATTTTCCTAAGCAGTGGGCCTACGGATGTGCATATTGGAATATGCGTGTTGTAATCTAAGCCTTCAATATACCCTGGAGAAACTATGTGTTGAAATACTTTCATATAAATTGTTCTATGGTTATAAATTCAAAAGAAAAAATATCCCCTTGGGAATTCCCGCAAAATGATGTTCAACCATCATCTTCATCACTGACTCTTTCCTACATATTTCCATTTTTTCATATGTCCCCCTATTTCTCTCACATTCCCTGCATTTCCTTCCAAAGAACTCTCGGTGGGAGTGAGTGTGAAAGGGAAAACATTCGGTGTTTATAGATTTTTTTCAGCTGGCAGCTGCTCACTTTGATTTTTGAGAAGTGCATGGTATCTCCAATGCCCCTAGAATAATTTATCCCCTTGGGAAATCCCACGGAATGGTATGGAACCTGGCTCGTTCCGGTAGTGATGTTCCTAACCTTTCATATTTCCCATTATTTCTCCCATATTCCCTTCATTTCCCTCCACAGAACTCTTTCTTGGGAAGCGTTCGGTTTTGATAGGTTTTTCATGGTTTTTCAATTTTTCCCAGTTTCTGGGCGAGTTGGGTGGTTCTGGCAGCTGCTCACTTTGATTTTTGGGAAGTGCAAGGCATCTCCAATACCCCTAGAATAATTTCTCCTCTTGGGAAATCGCACGAAATGGTATTCAACTTATCTCCCATATTCCCTTCATTTCCCTCCAAAGAACTCTCGATGGGAAGCGGTCGGTTTTATAGGTTTTTGAACACTTTTTTTCCAGTTTCTGGACGAGTTGGGTGATACTGGCAGCTGCTCACTTTGGTTTTTGAGGAGTGCAGGGTATCTCCAATACCCCTAAAATAATCTCCCCTTGGGAAATCCCACGAAATAGTATTCAACCTGGCTCTTTCCTGTAGTGATTTTCCTGACCTTCCTAACCTTTCATATTTCCTCTTATGTCTCTCATATTCCCTTCATTTCCCTCCAAAGAACTCTTTTTTGGGAAGTGTTCGGTTTTGATAAGTTTTTCATTTTTTCCAGTTTCTGGGCGAGTTGGATGGTTCTGGCAGCTTCCCGCTTTGATTTTTGAGGAATGCAGGGCGTCTCCAATATCCTTTGAATAATTTCTTAAAGAACGAGTTTGGTTTCGAGTTGCAAATTTTGATGCGTTCTTGCTGCAACATAAATTGAGGGGAGATTCTAACATGACTAGCAGGGAGCACACATGAAACATTATGTTAAATTTATTTGCGTTGTAGGATTCGCAACGCATCAATCCTAAAAAAAACAAAAAGCAACCTAAAAAATAGTAAACCACTTTTGCAAGTCCAACATTGCGCAGGATTTCCTGATGATCTCTCTCTCTCTCTCTGTGATTCTCTTCAATTCTGCTGTGAGTAACCCCCCTTAGTCTCATTTCACACTGCGACTTCTGTTGTGAGTTGTGCTGCAATCGCACTTCTCGGGGCCACGCCATCGTAAACAATATTATAGAAAACCAAAACTATTTCGAAATATGTTTTTTCCTGTCAGAGTGTTTACGTCAAAAATATTTTGATGGAGGGGGTAACCCATCAAAATAATTTCCAACCAGAAATTATTTTGGTGATGGTTAGAGTATAAAAATCTATTCATCCAACATGTTAGATGTTTGAAATTCTTTTGAAAAAATATTTTGGAGGGAACCCCCCTGAAATAATTTCATTAAGGTAGGAGGGATTCTGCGACAATGCTAGCATCAGATAGCCAGAGTCAGCTTCAGAGTCAGCTTCAGAGTCAGCTTCAGAGTCAGCAGGATTATGAAAGGATCCCTTCGTCGATTTGTCGATACACGTTCCACAGCCGAAAGAAACACATGTGACACTAGTCACACATAGAGTCTATACAAGTATATATATATTATATATATATAATATATACACGACACAAACAAAACGCCGCCACCACCACCACCACCACGCCATCACCTTTACATCACCATCACCATTACATCACCATCGCCGACACCGACTGGGCACCAGGATACCAACACCGATCGACGGCGCCTAACCGCCTTTGTAGAGTGTAGTACAACAGTACAACTCCAATGCTGCTGGGGAAAAAGAAAACAACACTGACTGCAAATGGCCACACAAAGATTTGAAACAGAGTGGCAAACCGAAGATGGTGAGACATTTTGAGACACGTTAAGACAGGTTGAGACAGGTAGACAACTGTTGTCAGTTTTTGAATGATGGGAGAATTGCTTTAGGAAAGGCAAAAAACATATGGGGCATGCCTGTGCTTGTGACATCTTGCAACTTCATTCCTTTTCTCCGCAGCTCACTTTGGAGATCTTTGTATGTAGACTGTAGCATATATATTGATTATCAGATATTAGATCATATTGGGTCTGCATATAGATGCCGGCAAAGTCTATCAGACAGTTTCATACACTCCCAGCAAGCTCCAAAAGTGTTTCCGTTCCAGTCGGAAAAAAAAGCACAGTTCTACAGTAAATGCCATGAAATGCCATGAAATGCCATAAAGCCTCATGAAGCCTTGAAGCGTCAATCGTTTCCTGGTGACCGAGCGAAGCATCCTTCTCTTCCCATGTTCCAGCCTCAAGACACCATTCTCTGTTCGGAGTAGACTATCCACACGGAAAAACAACAAAAACTAATCAGCAAAAAATATTGAGAAGGAATTTTGCCAGTGCACTGTCAAGGCCGTAACATCTGTGCAGCAAAGACATATCTAGAGTCTAGCCAACTCACCGTCCACAAGACTTTCGTTCCAAAGTCATACTGACAGTTCACCAGGTCGCACCATGTTGGGAATTCCAGTTTCATTAGGGACTGAAACGGAGCGCCATAGAGCGCTACACAGCGCCAAGTAATCACGATACAATTCTATATAATTATATACAGTTCTAATCAACTATATATACGTATATATATATATACGTATAACTATAATAGACTATAATCAATTATATAGATCCCTGTTCCATTCAAAAGGGTGGGTTGGTTCCAAGGTTTGTAGTAGTATACATGGTATACATCTGCCCTGTTCAGCCTAAATTTCCGCAAAAAAGGTGCCTGGGTTCAAGGCACTTTCTCTACAAGACTCCAGTGCCCGACCTCTGTAAAGGGCCAATTTGGGGCCTACAAAACTAGGGCCTGGGATTCAGAAGCTTCCCATGGCATCTTAATTTCCATCTTTTTCGAAGTAATGAAAAAAAATAATAATAAATACATGCGATCCAGTTTTGACTCAAGAAGTCAACAGAATGTTCTTTCTTTGTATTTAATTTAATCGACAAAATGAGGGCCTTCAGAAAGTCGATTTCTCCACGGGTTTTGTGGGGCTGGGGAACCCTTGCCTTAGGGCTGGGGATCTGGGAACCCGTTCACCCTGGGAGGGACAGAAATCTGTGATGTTCGAAGAGTCGCTGAATTGTTGGATCGAGGTTACCAGGTTTCCAGTGATGGATCGAAATCTAAAAAGAAAGTGATTAGTGGCGGAAATGGTCCGACAGTCATTGAATCTCTTGTTGGTTTTCATGAGCCACAGAGCTCCTACAAAAACTGTGTTCAATCATCGCTCAGGCTCACGTCCCCGCTAAGCCAGCATCAATGAGGCCCAAGGGCCACAAGTTTGAAACGGCAATTGCTGGGCAGGTAATGATGCCTCAAATTTCTTTATATACAGTAAATGTTCAAAGAAGTTGCCAATGCTGGCTTTAAGTAGCACGTCAAGGAGTTTCTCCATTCTATGTGGGGGCATATCGCGTTTTTCACTTTCATTTGCGAAAAACATGAAATAAGTAAGTAATCATTGGCCCAACCGCGCAGTGGGTTTGTTGGAGTGATGAGCATTGAACCAAAAGAATGCAAAAAAAACACGTGATCTCTTTTGACCCGAAAGGCTGTTTTTTAAGTATTGAATTGAATCAACAAAATGAATTCCTGCAAAACCATGCAAAACCAACTTTTTACCAAATTTTACCAGTGTTTCTGTATGTTTCTGTGGCGGGGCAGAACTCCTGCAGTCGGGCGAAGGAACTCTTTTACGGACATGGCTAGACTGCTTATAGGGAAAGGACCTTGGATCCTTGTTTTGCAGGAGCCCGGTGGACATGAAGAACGAGGGACTCAATGATTGTGAGATTATTATCATTATCCACCGTTGTTCAAAAACGTGTCAAAGTTTCAAGGTGTGTCAATCTGTGGTGTTTAAGGTGCCCTTCACGCAGGTTGGCATTATAGTCTTAAAATTTCAGACTTGCTATTACGGCGGCCGTTTGCAGCAAAGATACCGGGTGGAAGTGCGCTTGCGCCGACAAAAGAAAATCACTTGCACTTGCGCCGACCAAGTAACTAGTAGAGATTAGTAGAGTAAGGTTTTTAGATGTTTTTAATTGTTTTTAGCTAATCATCCACTCCTTTAGGGTTTGACTTGGGGACATGGGGACAGGGGCCCTGGGGTGGGTTAGGGGGACCTGGGGGCCAGCATCCTCTTGTGCTTCTGTCGATAATATGTTGATGCTGGATGCTACAGCATGAAAATTACGTAAGGATGCCACATACTAATCATACTAGCTGCTTCTTAAGATCTTAAGTTGCTAGCCAAAAGAACAGCCAACGCAGGCACAAGGGATCTTGTTTCGCAGGCATAAGTGGCACGTTTGATCATGCTTTCTGCCGGGTTTTGTCAGCATTGCATCGACAAAATGATGACCTGCAAAAAGTATATTCTACCATATTCTAGAATTGTTTTTGTGGGGCCTGAACGGGGCGAACTCTTGCTGTGGGGCTGGGAGGGAAATTGCTCACGCCTGGAGAACTGTTTTGTAGTGAGGGACCTGGGGTCCTTGGTTTGTAGGAAACTTGGTGGCTCAATGAATGTTGGATCATGTTGGATCATTATCCACTGCTTTCCTTCTAGATTCCGATTCTGCATCATCGATTGGAAACTCCCATTCATACGAATTCCATGTTTTGTAGTGAGGTGCCTGATGGCGTTGGACTCCCGTAAGGTTAGCGCTGCCGTGCCCTTTGTTTTTGCATCCAGATTGTCTCAACAGACTCATTGAAGGGACAGAACATTGGATGAGACAGCCACCCGTGAGTAGTGTTTTAAATCACGCCAGCTGCTTGCTGGTAGTGCCTTCGTTGATATGGATTTTGCAGGACTGCTCTGTGAAGATATCACAAATCACGTATAGGATGACTGAATGAACAGCACACAAGTGAATACAAATGAAAGATTCATAGCTGTTCGATTTGGGCCCCCTCCCTTTCTGATGGGTGCTTGTTGATTTGGGGTTCCATCTCTGGGTGGCCTTGTTTTTTCAAGTTGGATGATGATCATGGACTCTACGAATTTGAATAGAAAGTGGCATCATAGGCCACTATGAAATAAGAGGCTTGAAAGATCCCCACATGCCTGTCAACTACCAAAAATTTTAAAAATTATGACGACAGGACAGGACACAATACAAAATGAATTGACAGGCACCCAACCCCTGGAATTTACCGACCATACCCATCTGACTTTGTGTGCAAAAGGTGCCAAGATAAAAAGACTAGGAAAAGACTAGGAAGACCATCCTGGGATATCCAGGGGACCTCAAGCCTGACAATTTTTTGGAGACTGAAGGAGGATTCTACCAAACGCATCCAAATGCGTTCCTGTCATGGACCCTTTGATTCATTTGATGTCCTCGTGATGTTTACATGTTCAAGTGTCCCAACAATCATGTCTCTACAAAGTAAAAAAGCCATTCATATGGGACTTGGGTCAAGTTGTGTAGAGGAAATTGGCACGGGGATTTTATAATTCTTATATAGATTATTATAGATTATAGATCATTGATATTCATTGATCATATTAGATCCAACACATTCCGAGCCTGGTTCCACTCGCTCCCAACTTTCGGGGAACTCTCGTCTTTGCTCTCAGTGACCTGGAAAATGGAGGAACATGGAGGCACTGCGCTCCGTTTGCATGTCGCATAACGAGTTCTTTGCAAACGCAGTTTGATCTTTGCGTTTGATGTTGACATCGTTGCAAACTGCGTTTGTTGTTTGATGTTGAGATGCGTTGTGTCCGTCGCATTGCGATTCCAGATTCCAATCCACCGCAATCCACATCCGTAATCCACTCATTTTGATCATCTTGCATCCGTGTTCTCTGGCATTTCTGCGCCAGATATCAATGAATTGACTGAACTGTATCATCTTGCATTTTCGCCCGAGTCCCAAGAAACTTTGCGCGCATTTGCACACTGGGCCGGGTGCCAGTTGTGGTTTGGGTGCCGCATCAGAGAGGACCTTGGACCAAGGACATACACAGACTCTGTCAACACAGGTCGTTCAAAACATTCAGTGAAAACAAGAGTCAGAAAGCAATGCATACCAAACATGTCCAAAACGTGGCAAACAAACAAAAGGTTAGATGCAGGGTCTGCTGGCATGAACAAAGCCTCTGGAAAGAGGTTTATATTCTCCCGCCCCACAGAAAGCGGCATGTTTCACATCAGGCACTAAAATAACTAAAGCTTGCACTGTCAATCACATGAGTCAACAGTGAACAATCCATTGTGAAAATCATTGAACATCCTTAATTACGCATTCTGATGCCATGACAAATCCCAAGTTCCGTGAAGGAACGGAAGAGAGAAGAGTAGAGAAGTAGAGAAGCCGATTTTTTCACGAATTTGGAGGACTCTTAGGCATCTTAAGATATCTTAAGCTCTACCCTGCCTCCAAAGTTTCGTCTTTGAGGTTGCAACGGTGCCCAAACGGCCATGGTAGTAGCCTTTTTCCCTGGGCCGTAGCTTTCTAACCGTGGAACTCAGTCCAGAGTTTCTCTTGAAACACGTCATGACCATTTTCAGAGCTTTCATATGTTCGATCGTGCGCCATCATGCGATGTCAACGCAGTTTTCTTCAAAATTGTCATGTCTGCCTGTGGCTGATTCCTGATTTCCAACGGACCTCCGCCCAAGCTGAGTCCAAAGTTTCGTCTCTTTCAAGAGTTTTTTGTCCTGATGCCAGCTAGTGCCAGCAGAGGACAGCTTATGTCTGTTGCTCCCGGTTGCTCCCAAGTGCTCCCAGGCTCAGCCTGTGACTCGACCCGCGCCTCTTCGTCCAGCTCCGCTTCATCCATCTTCACCACCTCTCGAAGTCGTCAAAACTGGGTCCAGCTGGGTCCAGCTGGGTCCATTTGTTCAAAGAAGTCTCAACCAAATTCCCAAGTCCGCTGTTGTGCAAGTCTTGTTTTGGTATCACTTTCACTCATCGCTTATGGAAATCCTGCCCAAAAAACTCTGTGTTGTGCATGTTTCAGGCAGCAGCCTCATTATCATTGTGCAACACAAAGAAAAGGGAAGAGTTGTGACAGTTGTGGTGAGAATGTTCTGTTTCTCCGGTGATGTCAAGTGACTGCACCCAACCCACCTCCTCTACACGTTTCTTTTCCTGTGCAGCAACTGCCTTTGCTTCGGCGCGCCACTCCTTGAGCAAAACAGAAATGGCACAAACATGTCAAAGTGATATAGTTCCAAATGCATACATACCATTCCATTCCATTCCATTCCATTACATTACATTACATTAAATTACATTACATTAAATTACATTACACATTACATTCCATTGCATTCCATTCCATTGCATTCCATTCCAGTCCAGTCCATTACATTACATTACATTACACTACATTACATTACATTACACTACATTACATTACATTACATTACATCACATTACATCACATTACATCACATTACATCACATACATCACATTACATCACATTACATCACATTACATCACATTACATCACATACATCACATTACATCACATTACATCACATTACATCACATTACATCACACTACATCACATTACATCACTTGACATCGCATGACATCGCATGACATCGTAGTACATCACATTACATCACATTACATCACGCTACGTCACACTGTGCCACACACTACGTCACGCTACATCACACTACGTCACACTACGTCACATTGCATCACATTACGTCTCATTACGTCACACTACATCACATTACATCACATTACATCACATACCATCACATACCATCACATACCATCACATGCCATCACATACCATCACATACCATCACATACCATCATATAGCATCACATAGCATCACATAGCATCACATGGCATCACATACCATTACATTCCATCAGATACTATCACATACCATCACATACATGACATACAACGCATACATGGCATACATCAGATACATCACATACATGATGGTTGATCAAAATTCCTTTATCCGCAAACGGCCATTCTTCGGGAATAAAAACGTTACTTTTGCGAACTCCACGTTTATCTGCCGCGGGGCCCATGTTGGGCAACAACGCCTCTTATGAAGATTCGTTCACCACCTGCCAAATTACGCCAGAGAATCACGGATCACTTCTTGATAGCCTTTTTAAACATGCAGCTAGCATCACGGAACCCCTTCTCAGGACAGATTGTTGCTGACAGGTTTTTTTGCAAGGTTTAGACCCACCCCCTTCAACATGCACTTTGACTTTTGCCCGCTCCTTCGCAGAACTTTCGCGGAACTTTCCCAAAAATATCCCTATTCACAGACTCTGGCCATCAGCACGGGGCGCATTGAAGGACAAGCGAACACCAGGGGCCTTGGTGTTTGGCTCTCTCAAAGCCTCACTTTTGGAAACTTGGCTGCTGCATTTGGAGCATGTTTCTTGGGACTTCAAAAATCATCATTAGGCAGTGACAGCGGCAGGTGCAAGGATGCGCTTCAGGACCATGGTGTTTGGCTGTCACGAAGCCTCACCTTTGGAAGCTCGCCTGCTAGGCAAAGTGATTGTCCAAAAGCACCACCACACAGGGAACTGAACCAGAACCAAACCGAAATTCTCCGGTGCCCTTCTCCTGCCGGACCCCAGGCGGCAGTGGGTGGCAGCCCTTTACATAATGATTATAATATCCAACTTTCGCGAAAAAACATGTTACTTTCGCGCACTCGAAAAAAAAACATTCGCGAGGGTTCCCAACATAACACGAACGGTCTTCGCAATTAAAACTCTTTACAAGGACCCTTAGATCGATCACCACATCACATACATCACGTTACATCACATACCATCACATACCACCACATACATGACATACATCACATACATGACGTACATCACTTACATCACATACATCACTTACATCACATTGCATCACATGATATCACATGACATCACACGACATCACATTACATCACATACACCACATTACATCGCACACATCAAAAATTCACATACGTGACATACATCACATAAATGACATACATGACATACATGACATACAATACAATACCATAGTGCACCAAGTCCCGCGCCTGCCACGCAAAAGCCACCGGCAGAGCACGGAGGCCAAGGGGACACAAGCAAGAGATAATATAAACTAAATACGATCCGTAAAAATGACAATGTGAAGATGCAAGTCCGTCTATCTATCTATCTAATCTAATCTAAGCTAATCAATCTACCTATCGGTTAATCTATCTATCTATCTATCTATCGATCTATCTAATCTAATCTAATCTAATCTATCTATCTATCTATCTTACTAATCTATCTATCTATCTATCTATCTTATTAATCTATCTATCTATCTGTCTATCTATCGATCTATCTATCTATCCATCCATCCATTTATCTTTCTATCTATCTATCTATCTATCTATCTATCCATCTATCTATCTATCTATCTATCTTATCTATCTTATCTATCTTATCTATCTAATCTACCTAATCTACCTGATCTACCTTATCTATCTAATGTATCTAATCGATCTAATCTATCTAATGTATCTAATCTATCTAATTTATCTAATCTATCTAATCTATCTTATCTATCTAATCTATTTTATCTATCTAATCTATCTTATCTATCTAAACTATCTAATCTATCTAATCTATCTAATCTATCTAATCTATCTAATCTATCTAATCTATCTAAACTATCTAATTTTTCAAATCTATCTAACCTATCTAATTTATCTAATCTATCTAATCCATCTAATCCATCTAATCCATCTAATCCATATAATCTATCTAATCCATCTAACCCATCTAACACATCTAATCTATCTAATCTATCTAATCTATCTAATCACACTAATCTATCTGATCTATCTAATCTATCTAATCTATCTAATCTAATCTATCTAATCTAATCTATCTAATCTATTCTATGTAATCTAATCTATCTAAACTAATCTAATCTAATCTTATCGAATCAAACCGAATCTAACCTAATCGAATCTAATCTAATCTCATCTAATCTATCTAATCTAATCTATCTAATCTAATCTATCTAATCTAACCTATCTAATCTAATCTAATCTACCTAATCTAATCTATCGAATCTAATATATCTAACCTTATCTATCTAATCTATCTAATCTAATCTATCTAATCTAATCTACCGAATCTAATCTATCTAATCTAATCAATCTAATCTAATCAATCTAATCTAATCAATCTATCTAATCTAATCAATCTATCTAATCTAATCTATCTGCCTATCTATCTGTCTATCTATCTAAACTATCTAAACTATCTAATCTATCTAATCTATCTAATCTATCTAATTTTTCAAATCTATCTAATCTATCTAATCTATCTAATCTAATCCATCTAACCCATCTAATCCATCCAATACATCTAATCTATCTAATCCATCTAACCCATCTAATAAATCTAATCCATCTAATCTGTCTAATCTATCTAGTCTATCTAATCTATCTAATCTATCTAATCTATCTAATCTATCTAATCTATCTAATCTATCTAATCTATCTAATCTATCTAATCTATCTAATCTATCTAATCTATCTAAGTAATCTATCTATCTATCTATCTATCTGTCTTGTCTTGTCTTGTCTTGTCTTGTCTTATCTTATCTTATCTTATCTTATCTATCTACCTACCTATCTACCTATCTATCTATCTATCTATCTATCCATCCAATCTTCCTATCTATCTATCTATCTTTCTATCTATCTATCTATCTATCTATCTATCCTATCTATCTTATCTATCTATCTATCTATCCTATCTATCTAATCTACCGTATCTATCTTATCTTTCTTATCTATCTTATCTATCTAATCTATCTAATCTATCTAATCTATCTTGTCTCTCTAATCTATCTCATCTATCTTATCTATCTAATCTATCTAATCTATCTTATCTATCTTATCTATCTTATCTAATCTGATCTTTTCTTATCTTATCTTATCTATCTATCTACCTACCTACCTACCTACCTAATCTATCTATCTATCTTTCTATCTACCTATCTATCTATCTATCTATCTTTCTACCTATCTATCTATCTGTCTATCTATCTATCTATCCATCCATCCATCCATTTATCTATCTATCTATCTATCTAATCTAATCTAATCTAATCTAATCTAATCTATCTATCTATCTATCTATCTATCTTATTAATCTATCTATCTATCTTATTAATCTATCTATCTATCTTATTAATCTATCTATCTATCTTATTAATCTATCTATCTATCTTATTAATCTATCTATCTATCTTATCTATCTATCTATCTATCTTATTAATCTATCTATCTATCTTATTAATCTATCTATCTATCTATCTATCTATCCTATCCTATCCTATCCTATCCTATCCTATCTATCTATCTATCTATCTACTAACTGCTACTACTACTACTACTACTACTACCACCGCCACCAGCACCCACTCCTACCCCTACCCCTACTCCTACTACTCCTACTCCTGCTCCCACTCCTACGCCTACTCCTCTACTCCTCTACTCCTCTACTCCTCTACTCCTCTACTCCTCTACTCCTCTACTCCTCTACTCCTCTACTCCTCTACTCCTCTACTCCTCTACTCCTCTACTCCTCTACTCCTCTGCTCCTCTGCTCCTCTACTCCTCTACTCCTCTACTCCTCTACTCCTCTACTCCTCTACTCCTCTACTCCTCTACTCCTCTACTCCTCTACTCCTCTACTCCTCTACTCCTCTACTCCTCTACTCCTCTACTCCTCTACTCCTTCCTCCCTTCTTCCCCAAGTACTACACTGGTAGTGCCGGTAGCTAATGACATTGCCTGCAGCATTACCGTCGTCTACAGGTACTCGTCACAGGACGCACACCGGCACTGATCGACCAGTACTCATTTGGTACGTTCCATTGGTTGTTCAAGCACGCACTTGCTACTCAAGCTGCTTCTGATCTACGGCTCTGTCTTCGTCTCTTCTTCTCTCAGGCTTCCACCTAGCGTGCACGTCAACCTCCCTTGGGGCAATCTCTCTCCCCTGCCTCCTTCCATGCAGCGGTCTGCTGTCAAGCCAGAGGCTCATACATAGCACCTGGCACTACTTTGCTGGGGGCGGTACTAATTTGGTATACGGTCAATAGGTTGTTACAGCAAACCTTGCGGTTTTTGTCGTCGTCTTCCTTTCTTATTCTTCTTATTCTTCTTCTTCTCCTTCTTTTCTCTTCTGCTCTCTCGCGGGCTTCCACCTAGAAAGCACATCAAACTACCTTGGGGCCACCTCTCTATGGCCGGCGGGCTTGCCGAAAGCAATTTTTTTAAAAAAGGTACTGGTGCAAGCTTTGTAGTGCAAAGTAGTACTGGGAAGTGCTTTGTGCAAGCTTTGCAGTACAAAATAACTGGGACATAATCTTTGCAAGCTTTATAGTACAAAGTAGTACTGGGAAGTGCTTTGTGCAAGCTTTGTAGGACAAAGAAGTATGGGGAAGTGCTTTGCTCAAGCTTTGTAGTACAAAGTAGTATATACTGGGAAGTGCTTTGTGCAAGCTTTGTAGTACAAAGTAGTACTGGGAAGCAAGCTTTGTAGTACGAAGTAGTACTGGGAAGTGCTTTGCGCAAGCTTTGTAGTACGAAGTAGTACTGGCAAGTACTGTGCAAGCTCTGTAGTACGAAGTAGTACTGGGACGTGCTCTTTACAAGCTTTGTAGTACGAAGTAGTACTGGCTGGGAAGTACTTTGTGCAAGCTTTGCAGTACGAAGTAGTACTGGGACGTGCTTTGTGCAAGCTTTGTAGTACGAAGAAGTACTGGGACGTGCCCTGTGCAAGCTTTGTAGTACAAAGTAGTACTGGGAAGTGCTTTGTGCAAGCTTTGTCGTGCAAAGTAGTGCTGGGAAGTACCCTGCGCAAGCTTTGTAGTACAAAGTCGTACTGGGAAGTACTTTGTGCAAACTTTGTAGTAGAAAGTAGTACTGGGAAATACCCTGCGCAAGCTTTGTAGTACAAAGTATTACTGGGACGTGCTTTGTGCAAACTTTGTAGTACAAAGTCGTACTGGGACGTGCTTTGTGCAAACTTTGTAGTACAAAGTAGCACTGGGAATTACTTTGTGCAAGCTTTGTAGTACAAAGCAGTACAGGGACGTGCTTTGTGCAAGCTTTGTAGGACAAAGAAGTATGGGGAAGTGCTTTGTGCACGCTTTGTAGTACGAAGTAGTGCTTTGCGCATGCATTGTAGTACGAAGTAGTACTGGGAAGTGCTTTGCGCAAGCTTTGTAGTACAAAGATGTACAAAGTATTTTGTAAAGTTTTTTTGTGCAAGAGACTTTTCTCTGACATTAAGAGCTTTCCGGCGTGCAGAACAGCTGAGATGAGTTGAGAAGAACTTCGAGATGAGAAAGGTTGATCAGTGCCCGGATGAGATGAAACCAGTTGAGAAGAACTTACTTAGACAACATGTGGGAAGAGATGGGATGAGTTGAGAAGAGCTCACATGATTTGAGATGAGATGAAGTGCAAATGTGAAGTGTGAAGTCGGGGTGTGAAGAGTGCAGTGTGAAGTGTGAAGAAAGTGCTCGCTTGGAGTTGCATTTCACCGGAGTCGCGCGCAGGTCATGTTCTTGGACAACAACAGTGCAACAGGTTCACACAAAGCACGCACGCACGGGCCTGGCTGGCGCACGGCGCATGCAAGTTCTATACTTCCGCCCCGCCTTGTGCGGGTACTACTGGTATATTTAATGTTTTACTGGTTTGGATCCGAAGGTTTTGCGTTCTGGACGTCCTCCATTGTGACGGAAGGTTTCCCTTCGCTGGCCCGTCGCCGATTCTCTTCCTTGAGCTGCCTTGCAGGCATCAAAGTCTATAGCCGAGAGACTCCGAAAGGCCGAGATTATCCGAGATGAAGTAGTAATCAAAGTGATCACCAGGTGATGCTGGAGTGTAGAGTAAGGTGTAGTATAGCGACATAATAAGGTGGAATAATAAAGTAGAGAAAGTTGGGAAAATTATCCACCTACGTTGTGGGGGAAGCTGGCGCATGGCGATGTACTATTGCTGTGGGCCATTGAGCGTCCTTGAATCCAATTTCGAATATTTCGAGCTGTTTGTTCTGTTTGTCTTGTGGACAGATGTTGACAGCCCCAGCTGGGATTCCCAAACAAACCTTGTACTATTCCTTGAGGCTGACTGCCCTAGCGGCCCTAGCGTCTGTACTGTGAACAAACCACAACAGTTATAACGACACCATCCAACCGCTCTGCAGGGCACAACCAACAAAGCTTGAAGTATTGGTAGTGAGATATTGACCAACACCCATCAAAAAATCACATCCGCAGATGTGCCAAATGCTTCGGGTAAAAGCAATGCAAAAGAAAGATAACGAAAGCAAAGAAATCCGTTGAACATACAAGCTTTCTCAAGTCCTCCTTCACTCCGTTTCAACATACAGTGAACATTGAAACAAGGGGTGATCAAATGTCCCATGTCCGATTCCGTGTTACTTGTTTTGCCTCCAGCAAAAGACCTTGCGAACAGTATATAGTATTATATAGTCACATGATAGATTCCCTCCGCTTGCACATCTTGCACGACTCGATATTTGGCCTCTCTTCCTCTTTTTGCCTCTCTTCTTCCCGTCGTTTCTGAGCCTCCTCCTACAAGCAGTGGCTGTGCCAAGGAGAACTCATTGAGTTTTTGACAATATGAAGGTTGGGATCTGCAATGATACAGTAAGCAATCATCTGCACATTTTTGTACAGTACCAAAGGCATCTCAAAGGGGATCCAAAGCTATGATAGCGATGACTCTATGACCCAACAGCTGGCCTTTTGTTTTTTCTCAAGCTCCTCCTCCTTTTCTTTGGTTTTCTTGGCAAAGTCCTGACGTGCGGACTGCGCCTGAGATGTCTGAGTTTTGAAGCGATTGTGTTGCAAAGCCTGCGCCGGGAGAGGAAGAGCAACGGGCATGGCAGTTCCTTCATTCGAAGAGGTCTGGTTGAAGTGAGGTTGGGACCGTCAGGATTGCGGAAAACAGAAATTGTCTTTGCCTCTTCGGAAAAAAGTACAGACTCTGCCTCGGTTGCCGAACAGTTTTGTTACTAAGAGAACCAAAAGAGTTTTGGCTGCAAAAGATGTGCAAACTCTCCTCAAAAGAGATCTCATCCTCGCCAGCATCTTTGAGGCGCTTTACCTGACAGAGATCTGCGAATTATATTGCGCATCACTCGACGGTCGATGTCTATTCAGTCTATTCAGGGTGTGGGTTTGATTTGTTTGGGAACATATATGAACAAATTATGAACATGCGATCCCAGGTTGTTTGGTTGTTCTTGCACTTCAAAGCTGGTCTTGTCATCTTGTCTTTAGTCTCGCTGTGTCTCGCTGCGTCTCGCTGCGTCTCGTTTGTTTCATCAAAGCATCTTCCCAAAGGCGAACCAGGCCTCTTCTTCGTAAGCTGCTTGCAGCTTTCCAAGCCTCGTCCAAATGCCGACGCGGACGCCACAATTTGGATCACTTTGCCACTGAGTTTTCAGACTTTTTGTGCTGTTCTTGGTAGAGGCCACCCTTCATGGCAGCGCTAAGCCTGCACACAGCCACCAGATGCGGCACATGTTGCAACGATTTTCAGCTGTCATGTCAGGTGTGCCGGATGGTTGGCCATTTTTAGACTCTCTGGTGATCGGCCATCCATGGCTTGTTGACGTCCCCTACGATTCTGAAACACTTGAGCACTATTTAATCAAGGGTCATGAGTTCGACGCCGAAAGCAAAATATAGCAAAATTCTGTCCTTTGACAAACAAAGGAAAGCTTGGTGGAATGAAACATCCACGGTCAAACCAGTAGACTCGTCACACCAACTGAGCCATTCGTGTCGGTGCTTTGCTTGTCTTGGGATTATCTTCAAAATGTGCAAAGGAATTGCAGCATACTGCAGCGCCTCTCTTTCTCTTGCTGTCTTAGCTCCTGTCAATGTAAACGTGAACGTGAAGCGGCAAATGTATTTAGAACCGTTTAGATATGGAAGTCCAGACGGATACAACGAACAATTACCTCGAACTGTTGTCCACTTGTTGTCCACTTGTTGTCCACTTGTTGCCCACTTGTTGTCCACTTGTTGTCCACTTGTTGTCCACTTGTTGTCCACTTGTTGTCCACTTGTTGCCCACTTGTTGTCCACTTGTTGTCCACTTGTTGTCCACTTGTTGTCCACTTGTTGTCCACTTGTTGTCCACTTGTTGTCCACTTGTTGTCCACTTGTTGTCCACTTGTTGTCCACTTGTCAATCTGCGTCCGTGTCGCTTCGTCCTTGAGACGCTCCTTCACTTTGAAGAGCATCTCCCGAGCCTCACGGAATTCGGCATTCAGCATTCAACAGCATTTGGCTATGACTTTGGCATACTTTGGCCATGACTTTGCCCATCTTTGTCCATGTTCGCCTTCCATGGGTCGTTTCTGTCGTTTCCGTCTTTTCCGTCGTTTGTCGTTTCCTTTTTTTTTGTCATTTCACCTGGTCACCTTAAGTGGTCAGAATTTCAATGCACCGAGTTCCACCGAGTTCCACCGAGTTCCACCGAGTTCCACCGAGTTCCACCGTTCAGTGCGAGGCCTCGCGATTGCTGGGTTCCAGTTGGATGAGGCGACTGAGATCTCCTCGCGCTTCTTCCAAACGCCTCAAAGTTGAAACATGTTGAAACAATTTATACAAAGTTGGAAAGGATTAGACAAGGATTAGAAAGGCAAGAGATTTCGAGATTTCGATTTTATCAATTTAGACGGGTTTAAAAAAATCACTGACCGCCCTGTCACTCTGAGCCCGTCTCAGCCTGTCTGAGCCCGTCCAAGCCCCTGGCCCTTCTGTGTCTAGTTGCAGCCCCGCCAAAGAACGGCGGTAGAGCGCTTTGGTATTGTCCTTCGACTCAAGAAACACATACACTCAATACACTCAACACGCTCAATAAACTCAAGGTTTAAATATACACAGCACATACATTCTGCATTTTCCGACACACAATAGAATCAGAGTGTCTCAAGCTTTGCACGATCTGATGATATCTGATGCTCATATGCTGTGTGCAGTGCGCATCAAGGCGCGTGCAAGGCGGAGTCAATTCAGCTCCTTTTCGATCAGCAAAACCTTGCTGGCGTGCTCGATGGCCAGGAGCCAACTGCTCTGCTTGATGTTCGCCTCCCAGCCACAGCTGTGCTGAAAGGATGCTGGGGTCACGCAGTCGCGTTACACATGGTTACACTGGACCATATTGGAACAGCTTGGCGCATTTGATCATCATTTTAGATTTCATTTTATCCTAAAAAGCTCTATGGCCATACCGTTGGCGATTGCTGCAAAAACTGTTAATTCCTGTTAGACACTTTTAGAGGTTGGAACAGCGTGCAACTGCATTTTGTGTGGCAGGCATGGCACTTCGCGACATTTCGACTTGTTTGATAAAGTGTTGCAAGTGGTTTTGAGTGACAGGCGCCAAGAGTGATGAAGATGATGAAGCTCCATTGTGCGTGGAATGTCACTATTCGCGGCAGGCGCAATATTTGGGACGCTTGTATTTGCATTTGGCACTTTTCGCATTGGCACAGCTACGCGAGGTACTGCTGCTACGTTGTGTGTGGGTCTTTCGTGCCATTTTGCGTAGCAGGCGCAATATTTGATGACGTTGCAAGGAGGATGAAGAGAAGTGCCTTCCGACAGCACTCGCCACCATAGACTTGACTCTCCCCACTCTACACTCCAGCTTTACACTCCACCCTCTACACTCTCTCTCTACGCTCAACATGCCACACTTCACACCTTACACCCGACACTGCACCCTCCACACTCCACACTTCACAACCTTCACACCTTCACACCTTACACCCGACACTCCGCCCTCCACCCTCCACACTTCACACCTTACACCCGGCACTCCACCCTCCACCCTCCACACTTCACACCTTACACCCGACACTGCACCCTCCACACTCCACACTTCACAACCTTCACACCTTCACACCTTCACACCTTCACACCTTCACACCTTCACACCTTCACACCTTCACACCTTCACACCTTCACACCTTCACACCTTACACCCGACACTCCACCCTCCACCCTCCACACTTCACACCTTACACCCGACACTCCACCCTCCACCCTACACACTCCACCCTTCAGACTCCACACTCCACGCTCCACGCTTTACGCTTCACACTCCCCACTTCACACTCCAAACTCTAAACTCTACACTGCACAATGCACACTCTACACTCGACACTCTACACACTGCACTCCACCACTCCGCACTCCACAGTCTAAGTCTACAATGGTACGATACCAGAGAAAGACTTTACAAGCCTGTTGTAATAGCTTCTTTCGAAATTTACGTGTTTTGCATTCGGGTTTGCGGGTTGGATCAGGTTTCTTACATGCAAAGACTTTTCACGAGCAATCCGGTGAAGTTGTTTGCACCGCTTTGCACCGTTGCAGTTGCAACTCCTTGTTGCCCGAGCCGTACAAAACTCTGAATGAGTAAACTCATGCGAATTGAATGAATTTGTTTTGAAGTTGGCAAATGCTTTATAGGAAGATGTTGAAGTCGTGGCTCCTTCTGGTTTGTGTTCTGGCTCAAAATCTCTTCAACGACGCACTGGTACACTGGATACATTGATACATGGAGTTCTGAGCACAACGATAAAAAATAGAGGTGCATTGGTAACTGCATTATGATGCATTGCTGGTGCCGGATAGGCTAGGTATATTCTTAGCCTTTTCAATAAAATTCAACAAAGTTTATAACAGTTTATAACTTATCAAATAATTTTATAATATATCTTATTTTTAATTTTATAATAAGCACAACATGAGGATCGTTTGAATCTTTGGAACCACGGTTAAAGGTGCATCGTTGCACCGTTTGAGCAGCACCTGGGCAGAATTGAGCCGCAAAGCCAGGTACAGCGCGGTGCCTTTGCATTCGCCGACACCATGACGACAGGGCCGACGGCGCCGACAGGGTCGGCAGGATGCAGTGCCATGCAGTGCCATACAGGAAATTACAAAGATTGTTGAAACATGTTGAAGCAGCGTGTCTGAATGTGTCTGAATGGGCTGGTCACTTTGCACAGTTTCACTGTTCCTTCTGGAAAATGTCACAGTCCAGTGGCTGTTGTACTGCCTCCACAATGACAAAATGATTCTGCAAAGCCCTTGCAAATGGTGCTTTCCGCCCGATCCCAGACTCCCCCTGCCTCGTTTCTGCAGCTCCTCCCCTACATCACCAGGATCCTTCTCAAGCAACGGCCTGAAGTTGTGAGTCGCCACAGCAACACTGGCAGATTGGGACGGAATCGTGGGAATCGTGAGCAACATGTTCCAACACTTGCTGGTATCTGGCAGATGTAAGCAGATGTACGCAGATGTAACCTGCCTTCCGGCATAGTAAATAGATCTAAGTAAAACACATTGAAACATGTGAAAACCGTCAGATATGTTTCTGCCATTTTATTCCAGTAAAGATCCCATTTGACGCGAATTGACAAAACGTGTGGCAGCGTGCAAGAAAACATGAAGAAAACACACGTGGTCATGCGGCCACATGGTAATGTACATGAGATTCAATGCAACTTTAAGCTATGAAGAAAAACACGATCTGTTGCGGCTGCTCCTTGTTTCAGAAACCAGTGCTGCTGCCGCACTGCTGCCAAGTCACTCAGTTAACTCTATTCCTTCAGCATACCTTGTAGCCAATGCGAATGCACGTGAGCCGAGATGAGTCGACACGATTCGATTACAACCAGTGACGCAGTGATGTTAAATTTCTTGACATGAACACTTGATGCATTTGAGTCGTAGTTGACAAATTCACAACGGCAACTTAACAACAGCCCTTGCAACAGCTGCAGTTCAAAGTATTCGGTCCAACTCATGACGCTGGCAGGCGAAGAACTGCAAACAAACCTTAATGTTGTAAGACTATGTGGTCACAGGAAGTTTCATGGAGGAAACTTCGAGTTGCCCAAAGATCATTGTGTCCAGTTGGCATGTGCCTTAAGAGATCATGAAGCCACATTCTCACTAGTCACTAGCCCAGAGATCATTGTGTCCAAAGGGCACCTGCGTGAAGTACAGAAGAGGTAGGGTAGAGTAGAGTAGAGTAGAGTAGAGTAGAGGAGAGGAGAGAGAGTAGAGTAGAGTAGAGTAGAGTAGAGTAGAGGAGAGGAGAGGAGAGAGAGAGAGTAGAGTAGAGTAGAGGTAGCGTAAAAGTAGAGTAGGGTAGAGTAGAGCAGAGCACAAGTAGAGTAGGGGTAGAGGCAGAGGTATAGAGGTAGAGGCAAAGTAAAAGTCGAGTAAGGGTAGAGGTTGAGTAGGGTGGAGTCAAGAAGAGTAGAGAGCAAGGCTGCGCGCAAGGTCTTTGTTTTTTAGTTATGTCTTGCCATTCTGATTGTGTTTTGCACGTCCCTGTTGGCAGATCGTATTGGAACAGCTAGTTCATGGATCCCATTTGGATGTTAGGATTTGCACGAAACATTGTGTTTGTCCGGGTAAACAGAGGTTCGTTGCGGAGAAAAGTTGGCTCGCTTGCGCGACGGGGTTAGGCGTCGCCGCTTTGCCGTGAAATTTGTCTCGAACTGTGCGCGAAATGGAGCTGAGGGTTCCAGGTGACTTTTTCTCTTCTTTGTTGACGCTGTGCTATTGTGTTTTGCATTTGTTGAGACACTTTGTGCATTGGAACCGGTGCATCAAAGCGATGTGTTCTACAGTAGCGTGTTGCAATTCTATTGTGTTGTGCCATCCAGTTTGTGCAGATCGCAGTGGAGTGGCTGCAGCAAGGTTCCACGCTGCTGCGGCTGCGTGCGGAATACTAATTACTATTGTGTTTTGCAGCTGAGAATCGTAAATCGTAGAATGTAGTGGCTGCATGAAGGTTGCGAATGACGCTTTGGCAGCAAATATTTCTCAATTTTGGCTCATCCTGTGTAGCAGCTTCTCTCTGTAAAAGCTTGCTTTGTGTAAAAGCTTCTCTGTGAAAAGGGCTTCTCTGTGTAAAAGCTTGCTCTGTGAAAAAGCTTGCTCTGTGTAAAAGCTTCTCTGTATAAAAGCTTCTCTGTGTGAAAACTTGCTGTGTGTAAAAGCTTCTCTGTGCAAAAGCTTGCTGTGTGTAAAAGCCTGCTGTGTGTAAAAGCTTCTGTGTGTAAAAGCTTCTCTGTGTAAGAGCTTGCTGTGTGTAAATGCTTCTCCGTGTAAAAGCTTGCTCTGTGTGTAAGCACCTCTGTGACAGGAGGTGAGAAGAGTTGAGAAGAGTTGAGAAGAGTTGGCCAGGGCTGAGAAGGTGAGAAGAATTGAGATGAGCTGAGAAAGAGTTGAGACGAGGTGGGCAGAGGTGAGAGTGGTTGCGAAGAGTTGAGAAGTGCAGGGAAGAGGTGAGAAGAGTTGAGACGAGTTGAGAAGAGTTGAGACGAGGTGGGCAGAGGTGAGAGTGGTTGAGAAGAGTTGAGAAGTGCAGGGAAGAGGTGAAAAGAGTTGAGCTGAGGTGGGAAGAGATGGAACAACTTTGAGAGCTGTTGAAAAGAGTTGCGAGAATTGAGAAGAGCTGAGATGGTCTGAGAAGAGATGAGAAGTGGTCAAAATTGAAAACGGGTGAGGCAAAATGACGACGAATTCACAGAACAGAATTGAGAAGCTGTGAGGGTCCGCTGCATCTCCTATAGGCAAACCTTGTCTTTGGATCCTATAGCGTCACAGTTCTTAAACCTGGAAACTTCTGCCACCCGCCTTGCGCGGGTTCTACTTGTACATATTCAGTTAGAATATGCAATCTCATGGGATATTATGCAATAGGGTATAAAACAACACTGGAATATGATGCAATGGCAATATGTTATGACATGCTAAAGTTGTTTCTTCTTTGGTTCAAGGCATGAAAGCGACAACGAGACTACTCTGTCCAGGTGGCTTCGAGACAGCAGCAGCTGCATCGCCTGCCTGCAGAACTCACATGAGTCACACGAGTTTGCTTGGACGCTTGTTGCAAATATCGCAGAGCAACTTTCTGTTCAGAAGAAAATGAATGGACATTGTTTGTAGGTTTTGACATATATCAAATGTTAATGAATGATCCACTTTGGAAAAGGATGAAAAGGTCATGCCCGTCCTTCAGAAGGACATTGCCAGCTTCTTTGGAAGACTCGGCCATTGCAACACCTCAGCAACCCCCGGACACAGTCTACCTACGTCTACCACGGATACGCCAAGCAATCCACAACGCCTTACATGTCATGACAAGAGGCCTGGCAATACAATGCAATACATAATATCAGAAAGTATCAGAAAGTATCAGAAAGTATCAGAAAGTAATAGATATCGAGAAAAGCTGGCAGGATGATGCACGGAAGGATTCCGTGGAATACTGGATATGCTTTTAACTTGTTGCAATCCAAACAGCTCAATGCACCGTCTGTAGGTGCCGGAAGACTGAAAAGTGCATCAAATAAAGTGCGTTTTTCAATCAAAACGTGAGTTCTGAGTCAATCCCAACGAAGTGATTTCCGCTGTTCTATTTTCACAGCACCCATGGCTTTGATGTGGAAGCGAAGACTAAAGCAACATGTCCAAGGTTGCCGAATGGTTTTCAGACTTCAAGGTCCTGAACTGTACCGAACTATCCAGAAATGTACCCATGATATCCCATAATATGAGAGCTTTCCGCAACTTCCGCAGCACTCAGCTGCCGGATTCATCAATTTCACTGCTGCCGGGCAGCGTTCCTCATTCGTTGGACCCTTGGGCTCCTCCCGCCACAATTGGTCAAATCCCACCCATCCACATCCCACATCATCCATCCCCACCACGTACTGACGTAATGGACCTACACAGATCTCAAGCCTGTTCCTTGCATAGTGTTCTTTCCATGCCAGTCATGCGGAAAAAGGTACTTCATAATCGCGCACTCTAACATACTCTAACCAGAATAGAAGTGCGACGCCGCGACGCCACGCAAACAGAAGAAAAACCCGTTCACACATCCTTGTCATAGATGTCATAGTACTCTCGTGGCATTCTCCTGGTAGTTTATTGGTCTCATCCTATTCTGGTCATTTCTATTCAAAAATCTGTCTCAAAACCTGAATCCTCCCTGACTGTCTCGTGAAACATCTGCGGAGGCCTTGGTCTCAGTCGTCTCAGGGCTTTCAGCTTCTGGCTCCTGCAGTTTGAATGCTGAAGCTGAAGATAGATATATAAGTTTAAGAAGGTATGCTCAAGTTCGCGCTAGTTCAAAACCATTCACAACCTCCAAATATCAATATGTACTGTGTATGTATATATATATATGTATATAATATATATTAGTATACAGTATACAGTATACATCATGTTTGAATAAGTTCAATCATCTTTCCGTGCAATGGACTCAATAGATGGAGGTACAGTACAACGAGTCCGTAAGATGGCGAAAACGCCCAATGGATGCAGAACAAGTCCAGAAGACAATAGAGAAACAAATGTGCACAGGGAAGTCCCGAAGACAGTGAAAACGTCAAAGGGGGGGACATGGCAACCATCAATGAAGGCTAAATATTCGTGCATCTAATTACAAATCTGAAGATTTGCTTGTGGCAAACACTCGAATACTGGCTTCTGTCTATAGGATGCTTGGACCCACACCTAGAGTCTCCTAGATTCTAGATTGATGCGCTTTTTGCCATTATTTTGAAATCACTTCTGCAAGGGCCTCGCGGCTTCTTCAAAAAACTCAAGGATCTAAGAAAGACATCCAAAATCCAGTCCCTGACGTCCTTGGCTGTGTCCTGTGGACTCTCCCTGTGCCACTCCAAAAGCAACAAACTTGTGAATGTTTCGTGAACGATCAGTGAGCGACCAAAGTGAATCATAAACATCAAAACTGTTCCATGTGTTGACGAACTCAAAACACAGCGCTGCAAAACGAGACCAAACGAGTCGTTGAACGTTGTACATCGTTGTTCTCTTGTAGCGTTGTGACCTGTTTGTCGTGTCGTCCTCGGTGTCCTGTCCTGGTTGTGTCGTCATGTGACTTCCGTGACTTCTGAGCACTCCGACTTTTGTGCCACCTGGTCCGCCTGGTCGGGAGACATCATCACCTGGGCCAAAAAAAAATCAACGAATACACCAACGGATCCAACAGATACACCAACAGAACACGTTCAGATAAACCGGGTACGACATGGTACAACATGGTACAACGGATTATATAACATTGATAGAACATGATATGACACAGTCGTATCATGGAATAGGACCCCGCTGGAACTTGGTATACAATAGTGTTGTAAGTTGCAACTCAGCAATATGATTGATATTATCATGTGTCATACTATGAAATTTTGAAAGGCGGTGTAAATATCTGTAAATGCTATAGTTGCTTTGTAATGTGGACGATGGATGATGATGGGATGTTCTAAAGGGTTTCGGTGGAGATGCTGCACTTTGGCCTTCAAAAGTTTGGAGAACGATCAAATCCCCAAGACACCGATGGCGATGGCGTTAAATCATTGCATGTTGTTGCTGTTATTGTTGTTGTTGTTAAACGAATCAAGTTGAATCATGATATAATTGTCAACTTTCAGAAATAAGCTGGCGGGTTGTATTTAAGGTCTGTCCCCGGAAATAAGGTGCATGCAGTATGCAAAATGCATCGAAGCAAATGTGCGGGGATCCTTGGCTGAAAAATGGTTGCGCAACTAATTTCGAGACACGGCCCCGATTTCGTGTTATTGTTTTTCATTTCTTTACTGATTTTTTCAATGTAATTCTGCTTTATGTTTTTTTGCAGGCAGAAACGCCGCCGGCTGCTCAACAAAATACATTCTATGAATCTTTAAGCAAAGACCCGCCGCAGGCGCCACTTTTCAATGTTTGGATCGTCGCCAAAAAGAATTGATTCCACCAATCTGAAAATCATTGAAAAATAAGCGCTACACATTCATACAAAAACAACATATTTTTTGGATTTGTTTTTTTATTGTCTATTGTTTTTGTTTATTATTGTTTATTATGTTCTTTGTCTTTATTTTAATTTTTATTTATTGTTTTTTATTTTCATATGTTTCTCATTTATTTTTTTGAAATTTATTTTGTTTTCATTTTTTGTATCTTTTAATTATCTATTTATTTATTTTTGTTTTATTTGTTGTATTATTTATTTTTGTGTTTTGTTTATTTTTTCGTTATTTTTTATGTTTCCTTATTTCCGCGGAAATTCCTTAAGTTCAAGTGCTGGCCTTGAATTTAAGGCATTTCGACATTTTTCCACGATTATTTTTCAAAAAAAATAAAGTTCATTTTTTATATCCTAATGGGCTTTGTTTTTCCCACGATGTTTTTTAGAAAAAAATGAAATTCAACATCTTTTTGAAAAATAATCGTTGGAAAAAGTCGAAGTTCCTTAAATTCAAGGCCAGCCATTGAATTTAAGGCCAGCCCTTGAATTTAAGGAATTTCCGCGGAAATAAGGAAAAATAAAAAGTAACATTTTAATAAATAAATAAATACATACATATATATATATTTATACATCCCCCACTGCTTCACCCAGCTCGTTGCGACTTTTGCAGCCAAACTCCAAGTCACGCATGCCTCGCTCCTCTGGAGCTAAAAGTATTGGTGAGCACTTCGATGTGCCCTTCGACAATCTGCATAAGCACACGATCAAGATAGCAGTTCGAGTCACTGTGTATGCAGGATTTCTGTTGAATTGGTGCCCATCCCCATTCATGCTCCGGATCTTCCGCCATTTTGCAAGCGTGCCACTAGCAGAGCTGGAAAAGCTTAAGATCGCCTGCTCACTAAAGATCGTCGAGCAGGCGCACAGTTCTTCCATTGCGTCAGCAGCAAGGCGTGTGTCTCATATCTGCTGATGCTGCTCTTGGCTTCCCACCTGCCCCTTTTGCCGACTTTGTGCAAGCTTCGCCGTTTGTGATAGCGATCATTGGATGCAGCACTGTGACAAATGACATGCGGCTTCAAACATTCAGCAGTGTATCCAAGGTCATAGCAGGTCTGTTTCATCCAATTCTCATGAACAAACAGAGTAAGGTTGGGAAACAAGGGTCCTTCGTGTCTTAACATCCAGCATTGCATAACGTCCTTCATCCAGATGTTGTGAGGCAAGTCCCCCAATAAAACCGTATCATCAGCCTTACCAGTTTTCGTAGTTTGATGGAGAGAGGACGGGGCGATGACCAAAGACCAGTGAGGATACCGTCTCCCTTGGGGTCGACCTATCTGCTGCGAAGTCAAAGTCAAACATTCCGAGGGTCTGACGTAACCATGATACTGTATGGCTATGGCAACTGCGATAACTAGCCTGCCCGCTCAAGGGCCAAGGTTGCAGCATCCCACAAAAATTCCTCTGGTAGCGGAAGGCGCATTCCACCTGGGGCCTCCTTGCGCCATCCAGCCAGGCTCTGTTTGGACACTACTACAAAAATCTTCTTTGGCCACATCGCATTCGAGCAGTTGTAACCCGTACACCAGATATGAAGCAGTAGAAAGTTCCAGACCGTGAGAGTACAACTGGGTTACATAACTATTGACGGATTGATCCAGGTGCGCTTTGTCAACCTTCTTTTGTTCTCCGACGCCCATGTCTTAAAATTGCATATGCAATGCAAATACCGAGATAGAGTACATTGACTGACTTTCTTGGCTCGCAAAAGATACTTTGAAGAAACGGGCTGACCATTCAAACCAAAGCGGAGTCTCTTTTTCCCACCCACCTCACTTTTGGATTTAGCAAGTGGTTTGGTTGGTCTTGAGGTTCTGGCGCTTGAACTCGAGTCTATCGATGTCTTCTTTGGTGAACTGCCCAAAAACAACCGGATGCTCTTTGATGAACCGAGCTGCTTCCCTGAGGGGGTCTCGGCCCCTGGCTGCCTCACCTGTCCTACTTTCGCCAGTGTGTCTTTTGGCAGTTTCAGCAGTTTGGAACTCAGAACAACCGGCCGCTTCAGACAAAGCGGAGATGAAGTCATTTGTACGACGCCATCCTAACTTCCCATGAGAACCCGTGGGAGCTAAAAATGCACCAACTCGAGCCCATCCTAAACAGAGTTTGGGGGGATATACGCCGGCAAGTGCAGTGCGGCTTTTGTATGTCCACAAACCGTCGATCTTGACCCTCACCCCTCCTACCAAATGTTGATGAAGATGACCTCCGAACATGTCTTCTGAAGTTTGTTGAACGCTGTCTCATTGGTCATGATGGATGTACTCTTCTTGTGACGCTCTCCATATTGACACATATCAAAGCCGAATAAGTGAATACGTGGATCCCTAAGTAGATCGACTATAGGCGCAAACTCCCAGAGCCTGCTGCTCCTGGGATTTTCCAGAGTAAAAACAGGCATTCACGAATGATACGACATGTGAAGAGTGTGCCTACTGCTTCCCGAGCTTTCTGCATGTTGCGAATGTTGTGTCTTGCCTTACTCCAAGCCGTACAAGGTGTACCCAGGTGAACCCACCAAACCAAGCCAGCCGAAACCAGGCTCAAAACAAATTTCTGGACCCCAGGATTGAGCAAGTTGTACTGGATCTTTATGGCATCCAGCACAGGTCGCATCTTGTACTGGTTTCCACCGGCCAACAATACCTGAAACATACCCCATTCATCAATTCGAAGTCCATCAAATAGTTTGATCACCCTGGGCTCCTCAGGATACTCAGGCACCCGATTCTCAACCAGCCTTGCGCTCCAAGGGTCTGAAGCGCCTCACAAAGGCAGTGATGCTCTCACCTTGAATCCTGCCCACTGACTTGTATTCCCTGATGATGCCTCCTTGGCGAAACAGGGGTCTCTCGCCAAAGGACTCCTCCAGGTCGGTCAGAGCCATTCGCATTGTTGCAGCGGTCATCAGAGACCTCGGCTAACTCAAGTTCAGCCTCACCTTTAACTGCTCTCGTGCCCTTCGTGCCCTCAGCGCCTGCTCATTCTTTGGAAGGAACTCGGCCGTGATCAAGACCCATCTCATCAGTCTCTTCCGGTAGTGGGGCAAGAAAGGGTCCTGCTCTATGTCGCCCTCAAAGACAGGCGCAGGTGGAACAGCTCCACTGCGCCACTTCTTTTCACCACCTTGTCGACCACGGCCAGATGTAGCTCCACTAGCTCAGGAAGCACCGCCTCTGGAACCTCGTCTGCGTCCAGTTCCAACCGATTGGATGGAGCCCCCATCAGGAGCTTGGGAACCCTCAGCTCGGCCGCGGTCATCACCATCAACTTGTCCTTCATGTAGCGATGCGCCATCCAATGAGGCTGCATCAGAGCTGGCGCCCAAGGAGTCGCTCACGGAGCCGTAGTCCAAGGGACGTCCGAGTCGAAGTCCATGGTCTACCAAGCTAATGGCAGAGTGAAGTCACCACGCCTTTCACAGGTCCGTCAGGGACACGCTACCAATGCCAATTATTGCCGCAGCCTGGATCAACGGACCAACCGGAAAGGCATCAAGCTATCTATTTCCTCAGCTGATATGTCCCACCTCGAGCTATCGTGGCGGCAGGGTTCATTCCCTTGCAGCTACATGAGATCCACATGTCATGCCAATAGATGAAATACCATGCTGCACATGCTCAGAATGACACAAAGAATAAGCTTGTGTAATCTCTTGAGAGAATCTAACTTTGTACATCTTCTTCTTTGTACATTCCATGGCTAGATTCCAGCTTCACAGCGCCTATGATTTCCATTCAGTTTCCATGAATTGCCAGGGTCCACGCATCTCCTTCACCAGCCATGGCGATCAAAAAGTTTGGAGCACAACGTTCAAGTCTAGTGACACTGTGATTCAGAGACCTTTACCAGGCAAACATAAGTTAAGCACAGTTAAACAATAAGCACGTGATCGCACATGTCTTGCCAAAAGTTGGTTTTGTAACATAACAAGCAACTGAAATTCTCTTCGCATGGCTCGATTGACTTCATCAAAGGGTCCAAAAAATGAATCCAACAATAAATCACCTATCATTCCTCTGCAATTTGCGGCCCAAAAAAACGACGATTGACGTGGTAACCCGGACCCTGCAGAAACTTGAGCCTCTTGCGTGGACGGTTCCAACATATTCACCAACACATCAAAACTTGATAATGTGACTAACTAATGACTAATGTGCATGTTTTCAGTGTGTTCCAACTAGCCAAATTCCCGTTCTCAAGCAGTTCGTGAACTGCAAAAAAAGGTGTCGCTGAAGCCTAGCCTATGTTACTCTGGCACGCTGCTGTGATAGCTCCCTTACAAAGGCCGGCCTTCATTTGCATGCCGTTTACATTTTTGCCGACCATTGCATAAATAATTTGGAGAACGCTTCAATTCTCATCTGTTCTTTTTCTGCGTGCTCTTTCAAAATGATGACAAATTGATGGCAACATAGCAACCTTTGCGCAAAACCGGCTGTGCTTTCTTTGTGTTTGTCGATGTTTTTCAACTGAAACCACTGCAACCATGACCTGTTTTTGGTCTCAGGAGCAATCCAGCAAACCAATCCTTCATGACATGAGTTTTGAGAAGTTCCAAAAAAACTTTCGACTGATTTCTACATGTCTACATGAAATTGGAATTGAAAACTGCTATTCCAGAATTGAATCCGAATGGTGATCGTCATACAAATTTATAGGGAAAAGAGAGTTTGGAAGTGAAAACTGCTATTCCAGGATCGTCATACAAATTTAAAGGGAAAAGAGAGATTGCAATTGAAAACTGCTATTCCAGAATTGAATCCGAATGGTGATCGTCATACAAATTTATAGGGAAAAGAGAGATTGGAATTGAAAACTGCTATTTTAGAATTGATTAAGACTGGTGATCGTCAAGCAAATTTATAGGAAAGAAGGAGATGGAAGTAGAAACTTGCTATTCCAGAATTGAATCCGAATGATGATCGTCATACAAATTTAAAGGGAAAAGAGAGATGGAAATTGAAAACTGCTATTTTAGAATTGAATAAGACTGGTGATCGTCATACAAATTGATAGGAAAGAAGGAGATGGAAGTAGAAACTTGCTATTCCAGAATTGAATCCGAATGGTGATCGTCATACAAATTTATAGGGAAAAGAGAGATTGCAATTTAAAACTGCTATTCCGGAATTGAATCGAATGGTGATCGTCATACAAATTTAAAGGGAAAAGAGAGATTGCAATTGAAAACTGCTATTCCAGAATTGAATCAGACTGGTGATCGTCATACAAATTTAAAGGGAAGAAGGAGATGGAAGTAGAAACTTGCTATTCCAGAATTGAATCCGAATGGTGATCGTCATACAATTTTATAGGGAAAAGAGAGATGGGAATTGAAAACTGCTATTTTAGAATTGAATAAGACTGGTGATCGTCAAGCAAATTTATAGGAAAGAAGGAGATGGAAGTAGAAACTTGCTATTCCAGAATTGAATCCGAATGGTGATCGTCATACAATTTTATAGGGAAAAGAGAGATGGGAATTGAAAACTGCTATTCCAGAATTGAATCCGAATGATAATCGTTATACAAATTTATAGGGAAAAGAGAGATTGGAATTGAAAACTGCTATTCCAGAATTGAATCCGAATGGTGATCGTCATACAAATTTATAGGGAAAAGAGAGATGGGAATTGAAAACTGCTATTTTAGAATTGAATAAGACTTGTGATCGTCAAGCAAATTTATAGGAAAGAAGGAGATGGAAAGTAGAAACTTGCTATTCCAGAATTGAATCCGAATGGTGATCGTCATACAAATTTATAGGGAAGAAGGAGATTGCAAGTGAAAACTGCTATTCCAGAATTGAATCCGAATGGTGATCGTCATACAAATTTAAAGGGAAAAGAGAGATTGCAATTGAAAACTGCTATTCCGGAATTGAATCGAATGGTGATCGTCATACAAATTTAAAGGGAAAAGAGAGATTGGAATTGAAAACTGCTATTCCAGAATTGAATCAGAATGGTGATCGTCATACAAATTTATAGGGAAAAGAGAGATGGGAATTGAAAACTGCTATTTTAGAATTGAATAAGACTTGTGATCGTCAAGCAAATTTATAGGAAAGAAGGAGATGGAAGTAGAAACTTGCTATTCCAGAATTGAATCCGAATGGTGATCGTCATACAAATTTATAGGGAAGAAGGAGATTGCAAGTGAAAACTGCTATTCCAGAATTGAATCCGAATTGTGATCGTCATACAAATTTAGGGAAAAGAGAGATGGGAATTGAAAACTGCTATTTTAGAATTGATTAAGACTGGTGATCGTCAAGCAAATTTATAGGAAAGAAGGAGATGGAAGTAGAAACTTGCTATTCCAGAATTGAATCAGAATGGTGATCGTCATACAAATTTATAGAGAAAAGAGAGATGGGAATTGAAAACTGCTATTTTAGAATTGAATAAGACTGGTGATCGTCAAGCAAATTTATAGGAAAGAAGGAGATGGAAGTAGAAACTTGCTATTCCAGAATTGAATCAGACTGGTGATCGTCATACAAATTTAAAGGGAAGAAGGAGATGGAAGTAGAAACTTGCTATTCCAGAATTGAATCCGAATGGTGATCGTCATACAATTTTATAGGGAAAAGAGAGATGGGAATTGAAAACTGCTATTTTAGAATTGAATAAGACTGGTGATCGTCAAGCAAATTTATAGGAAAGAAGGAGATGGAAGTAGAAACTTGCTATTCCAGAATTGAATCCAAATGGTGATCGTCATACAAATTTGAAGGGAAAAGAGAGATTGCAATTGAAAACTGCTATTCCGGAATTGAATCGAATGGTGATCGTCATACAAATTTAAAGGGAAAAGAGAGATTGGAATTGAAAACTGCTATTCCAGAATTGAATCCGAATGGTGATCGTCATACAAATTTATAGGGAAAAGAGAGATGGGAATTGAAAACTGCTATTTTAGAATTGAATAAGACTGGTGATCGTCAAGCAAATTTATAGGGAAGAAGGAGATGTGACGAGAAACTTGCTATTCCAGAATGGTGATCGTCATACATATTTATAGGAAAGAAGGAGATTGCAAGTGAAAACTGCTATTCCAGAATTGAATCCGAATGGTGATCGTCATACAAATTTATAGGGAAAAGAGAGATGGGAATTGAAAACTGCTATTTTAGAATTGATTAAGACTGGTGATCGTCAAGCAAATTTATGGGAAAGAAGGAGATGGAAGTAGAAACTTGCTATTCCAGAATTGAATCAGACTGGTGATCGTCATACAAATTTAAAGGGAAGAAGGAGATGGAAGTAGAAACTTGCTATTCCAGAATTGAATCCGAATGGTGATCGTCATACAATTTTATAGGGAAAAGAGAGATGGGAATTGAAAACTGCTATTCTAGAATTGAATAAGACTGGTGATCGTCAAACAAATTTATAGGAAAGAAGGAGATGGAAGTAGAAACTTGCAATTCCAGAATTGAATCCAAATGGTGATCGTCATACAAATTTAAAGGGAAAAGAGAGATTGCAATTGAAAACTGCTATTCCGGAATTGAATCGAATGGTGATCGTCATACAAATTTATAGGGAAAAGAGAGATGGGAATTGAAAACTGCTATTCTAGAATTGAATAAGACTGGTGATCGTCAAACAAATTTATAGGAAAGAAGGAGATGGAAGTAGAAACTTGCAATTCCAAAATTGAATCAGAATGGTGGTCGTCATACAAATTTATAGGAAAGAAGGAGATTGCAAGTGAAAACTGCTATTCCAGAATTGAACCGAATGGTGATCGTCATACAAATTTAAAGGGAAAAGAGAGATTGCAATTGAAAACTGCTATTCCGGAATTGAATCAGAATGGTGATCGTCATACAAAATTAAAGGGAAAAGAGAGATGGGAATTGAAAACTGCTATTTTAGAATTGAATAAGACTTGTGATCGTCAAGCAAATTTATAGGAAAGAAGGAGATGGAAGTAGAAACTTGCTATTCCAGAATTAATCAGAATGGTGATCGTCATACAAAATTAAAGGGAAGAAGGAGATGGAAGTAGAAACTTGCTATTCCAGAATTGAATCCGAATGGTGATCGTCATACAAATTTTTAGGGAAGAAGGAGATGTGACGAGAAACTTGCTATTCCAGAATGGTGATCGTCATACATATTTATAGGGAAGAAGGAGATGGGACTAGATGATGTTGTGCATATGGACAAGATGATGATGGACAAATTATGGAGAAATACTTCAGACACTGACAGTCGGAATGTGCCTCACGTGGCAAAAAAAAACGTTCTTATGTAGATACGGCAGTACCTATTCTATCTGATTACTATCTATACCTTGTTTGATCTTTTTGGGCACTCTTGCGCCTCCTCAAGCTAGGGTGCCATAGCAGTTGTCTTCGGGTTTCCTCTTGCGATGGGCAAATTGGACTTTCCTTATAAGAAGTTCACGTATAAATCATGTGGGCTGCATGTACTCAAAGGACAACGTCGTCATGGCACTGCGGCGTCATGCTCTTCAAAACAAACCCATGTTCGGTTTGTACCTGCGTGCCGCCGCGCAAGGCGCAAGGCCAACCTTTTCTGACTCGAAACTTGTGCTTGAACATAGCGTACATGAATGGGGCTGCAAGGAGTTGCTGCAAAGGCAAACCTATGCAGTTGGCGCAGGCGCAGCCTCCGGTAGGTAAGATGGAAACCCAAGCCCACGAATCAAAATCATGAAAGATCTGTGACGTGAAACATTCACAACCATAGCATAACCATGGAGATACTCATGGCATAACTTGTCCAATGCTCAGTATCATCTTACCCAGGGCCGGTGTGCCGAATGTCCCGAGTTTGACTCGTCGGGCACAGACGAGCTCTGCCTTTTGGATCCTGGGACCTCAAAACTAACAGGTCGAACCAGAACTCTGGCGATATCTGACCGGAAAAACCCGGAAACTGAAGCATCCGTTTGTTGCTTCTTGAAATGCCAGGTGTCATAGGGAGACAACGGCTTGAACCACATCTCCGACACCAACCAGCCGATCTTCGATGAAAAAATTACGGGCATATATCTTCACATATGCACACGGTCTCAGCCACCAGAGTGTATGCGCTGGCGGCTGGGTCACTCCCATAGCTGCTTCCAAAGGGCAAGTCAGGATACTAGCCAAACTCCATATTTAGCTGACATTCGTTGTGATTTCAAATTCCAGATTCGGTGGTTGAAACTTGGATCAGGGAACTGAATGAAACGAAGGGAGTCCAACGACTGATTCGCAAGAATATTTTGGAAACCCCAGATTGGTGAAGATATCTTGTGTATGGATGTGTATGGCCCAGCAATTCAGCCTTCTTCAAGCCAATATTTCACATCATTGGCACTCATGGGCCCACATTTGTGGGATGTATGTTTTTTAAAAATATTTGAAAAAATACATCCAGTATCATCCAGTGTGTGGTATATTCAGACTCTGCCTAATGCTGAACACAGTAGATCAGCGCATTTGGTGCGCATAATGAGAAGGGAAGCAGCCAGGGGCACTGTTCGCAGGTTAGTCATCGAGAACAACTCCAGGAATCTCAGGAACATTTTCTACTGAAATTCGAACAGCCTCGGTCCTGGCAAAGTGACCGTGCAAACGAGACAAGAATGCAATTTGCACAATATACAGTACATGTTGCATAATATACATCTATCTTTATAAATATCTAGAGTACAATACATAAAAGCTCTCTTTGTCTATCTATCCACCCGTCCATCCATCCATCCATCCATCCCCCTTTCTCTCTCTACCTCTCTTTCTCTCTCTCTCGTCCACCAGCCTACCGGTCTATCTCTCTCTATATCCACTGGTCCATGTCTCCATCTCACATCAAGCTCTCTAGCCGTCATCCGCTGGTAAGCACAGAGAGATGACGTGACGATCTACTTTCAGCACAGGCATAGCTCTATGTCAGGTAGTCATTGCAGCCTGCTGCGGACAAAGCTTCCATGACCTGTAGCAATCTAGCTATCTATCTATCAACCTATAATTCCAGCCTTCCGTCAAGCCATCCATGCATCAACCTAACTTTCACTCACTCTCTCTCTCTCTCTCTCTCCCCCTCCCTCCCTCCATGCCCCAATGTCTGCATCTATGTAGCTATGCACAATCTATCCCTCCATCCATCCACCCATGTCATCCAGCCAGCCGTCGCGACGGATCTATCTATCTATCTATCTATCTATCTACCTATCTATCTACCTATCTATCTATCTGTCTATCTATCTATCTATCTGTCTATCTATCTATCTATCTAGCTAGCGCTAGCTAGCTAGCTAGCTCTCTATCTATCTTTCTATTTTTTCTATCTATCTATCTATCTATCTAGCTATCTATCTACCTATCTGCTAATCTAGCTATATCTATACGTCTAGCTGTCATCCAGCTACCGATAGATTCCCTCTCTCGGCCCACTCTCCATCCATCTATTATCCGCCTATCTATTGATCTATGTGTCTACTCATTTAGCCCTAGTATTTGTCTACCTATTGCAACCACATATCACGGACCAGGGGGAAATCGATAACCCACCGTCACCGATTTGCGAGCTGGTACATTACCCTGCAAAACGCTCCCCGGAGACACCCTGTGTAACACCAACTGAAGCTGGAAAAACGGGCCCGTACGGCAACACCTCCCTCAGACCCCTAATCTCTCATTACATTCGCAAAAAACAACTAACTAGCCAGCTTGTCCGGCTGGCTTTCGTAACTAGACGACGGATGGCCCGAGAGCGTAGAAGAGCATGTTACTCTCTTGTAAGTAGTATCAAAGACATTGCTGGTGAAAGCTTCATTGAAGATGATGCAGATGATCAGCAGAAAGGAGGTAGAAATGCTGTGTCAGATTTAAGTAGACAAAGATAGACACAAATGTTGAGAGTGTTATGTCAGATTTAAGTAGACAAAGATAGACACAAAATTTGAGAGACCGACAGAGACAGACAGCAAAGAAACACATACACGCACAGACACACAAGCAAAGATACAGACACAGACGCACACACACACACGGTACACATACAAAAAACCACACGCACGCACACAAACAGAACACAAAGAGGAAGACACATACACGCAAACACACACACACACAGGCACAGCCACACACGCACACAAAGAGGAAGACACATACACGCAGACACACACACACACAGGCACAGATACACACGCACAGAAAGAGATAAGACACGAGACGCAAAAACAGAGACGCAGACAGATGGTGCACCAGGACACACACACACTCACAGCGAAGTCATCGTTGTCGTGGGCACCTCAGCAATCCGAAGGGGGGTGAAGTTCGTGGCCTGCATTATAGGGGACCTGCATTTGATTGCTAGAAACTTTGCGATGTGTGCTTTTCAACAGTGCAGTCTACATGTGAGCAAGAACCTGCGGCCTCATTATTTCACATAGGCAAGTGTGACGATAAGCAATGCCATTGAAAATGTTGCTGATAGAAATCAGATCGATCCATGCAACTACCTGCGCACGAGCAATCAGCAGCTTTATTCACTGTCGACGAAGTTGACTGTAGACGACAAAGTCTCAGACAGGTCTGGTTGACTTGTCAGAACCATACTTTTCGACATCATTTTGACATCGAAACATTCTGCGGTTTGAAGGCTCCCAGCGCACAAGCAAATGAGAGCTAGACCGCGTCAAGTTGGAAATCCCGGTCTCACTCACAGCGCTGTTGTTCCACCATCCACAATGCCTCCAAACCATGGTCTCGATGGCACTGCCTTTGCCATTGCTCGCAATTCATCTCGACCGATGTCCGCCACAGCTCCTTTGGCCCCATCCTCCACCAACCGCTGCAACTTCTCTCGCGGCTGCCGAGCAGCTGCCTCCAGAGTGCTTTAACCAACAGAAGAATGTCTGAGAAGCGAGCTCCGATAAAGCAACAAACAACCATAACCATAACTGGACCATAACCAAACATTATCGCAGGCAAACATGTTCATGTTATTCTGTATTTCCTAGGAGACCAAAGTGAACCAGTCTGTCTAACCAATAATTAATTTGAAATAAACCGTTGTCTTTACAATGACTGAACATGTCGTAGAATAGAAATAAGACTTCATCCCAATTGCACATATCGTCCATACAACTTGCAATCAAACAACTTCCCACCTTTCCAGCCTCAGAAACCAGATATGCCAGCAACGCTTCCTGCAGTTCTGGCACCGTTAGCCACTTGCTGCTCGACCTCACTGGCAACCCCGCTGCCTTTGCCATTGCGCGCAATTCATCTTTCGACGAATGTCCGCCACAGCTCCTTGCAGCCACTCCGGTCCCCTGCTGGCACCATCCTCCACCAACCGCTGCAGCTTCTCACGCGGCTGCCGAGCAGCTGCCTCCAGAGTGCTTTAACCAACAGAAGAATGTCTGAGAAGTGAGCTCCGATAAAGCAACAAACAACCGTAACCATAACTGGACCATAACCAAACATTGTCGCAGGCAAACATGTTCATGTTATCCTGTTTTTCCTAGGAGATCAAAGTGAACCAGTCTGTCTAACCAATAATTAATTTGAAATAAACCGTTGTCTTTACAATGACTGAACATGTCGTAGAATAGAAATAAGACTTCATCCCAATTGCACATATCGTCCATACAACTTGCAATCAAACAACTTCCCACCTTTCCAGCCTCAGAAACCAAATATGCCAGCAACGCTTCCTGCAGTTCTGGCACCGTTAGCCACTTGCTGTTCGACCTCACTGGCAACCCCGCTGCCTTTGCCATTGCGCGCAATTCATCTCTCGACGAATGTCCGCCACAGCTCCTTGCAGCCACTCCGGTCCCCTGCTGGCACCATCCTCCACCAACCGCTGCAGCTTCTCACGCGGCTGCCGAGCAGCTGCCTCCAGAGTGCTTCAACCAACAGAAGAATGTCTGAGAAGTGAGCTCCGATAAAGCAACAAAAAACCATAACCATAACTGGACCATAACCAAACATTATCGCAGGCAAACATGTTCATGTTATCCTGTATTTCCTAGGAGACCAAAGTGAACCAGTCTGTCCAACCAATAATTAATTTGAAATAAACCGTTGTCTTTACAATGACTGAACATGTCGTAGAATAGAAATAAGACTTCATCCCAGTTGCACACATCGCCCATACAACTTGCAATCAAACAACTTCCCACCTTTCCAGCCTCAGAAACCAGATATGCCAGCAACGCTTCCTGCAGTTCTGGCACCGTTAGCCACTTGCTGTTCGACCTCACTGGCAACCCCACTGCCTTTGCCATTGCGCGCAATTCATCTCTTGACGAATGTCCGCCACAGCTCCTTGCAGCCACTCCGGTCCCCTGCTGGCACCATCCTCTTGCAACCGCTGCAACTTCTCGCGCGGCTGCCGAGCAGCTGCCTCCAGAGTGCTTTAACCAACAGAAGAATGTCTGAGAAGTGAGCTCCGATAAAGCAACAAACAACCGTAACCATAACTGGACCATAACCAAACATTATCGCAGGCAAACATGTTCATGTTATCCTGTTTTTCCTAAGAGATCAAAGTGAACCAGTCTGTCTAACCAATAATTAATTTGAAATAAACCGTTGTCTTTACAATGACTGAACATGTCGTAGAATAGAAATAAGACTTCATCCCAATTGCACATATCGTCCATACAACTTGCAATCAAACAACTTCCCACCTTTCCAGCTTCAGAAACCAAATATGCCAGCAACGCTTCCTGCAGTTCTGGCACCGTTAGCCACTTGCTGTTCGACCTCACTGGCAACCCCGCTGCCTTCGCCATTGCTCGCAATTCATCTCGACGGATGTCCGCCACAGCTCCTTGCAGCCACTCCGGTCCCTTGCTGGCGCCGTATACCAACCCCTGCAGCTTCTCTCGCGGCTGCCGAGCAACCGCCTCCTCCTCGGACAATTCCGGTTGGGCGGCGGCAGCTCTCAACATAGCGATGTCCTCCAAGATCGTGCAAATCTTGAACCAAAAAGCTACGATTGATTCGTTTCTCATGCTGCAGTGCGAAGGAAAACATGCAAGATTGAGTCAATGAGTACATGGATTGCTGTCTGATGATGCAACTTGTTGGCGATGCGAACTCTGAGCGCTGCACAACTCGTAGCGACCAGGCGGCGGATGACCTCTTGAGCCCCGATTCATTGGTTTCAGTGTCTTCACGATAGGAATTCTGAGTGCTGCACCTTTCGGTCAGCTCAACAGACCCTTTTACACACAGACCCTTTCACACACAAACCCTTTTGCACACAGACGCTCTTACACGCAGACACTTTTACGCACAAACACTTTTACGCACATATGCTTTTACACACAGATGCCTTTACACGGATAACCCTTTACTCACAACGCTTTCACACGCAGATGCTTCAGCACACAGAAACGTTTACGCAGAGACACTTTTACACACACACACTAGACAAGAATGGATCATTATATGATCCGGCAGGAACTGAATCCTGAAACATGCAAACCAGCCTAGATTATTAGATGAATAAAAGAGCCACATGAGGTACTTCTCGCAAACGATGTAGGGCATCCGAAATTGTCAAACGTAGTCATAACCAGATTCCATAGAGTTTTGACCAGCATGTGGAAATCCAAAATAATGTTTCGGCGATTGTTTCCCAAAATAACCCATAGTTCGTCGGCGACAGGGTCTCGGCGAAAATAAGTCAAAAAACATAATACTGTCGGCGATATGGTTTCGGCGAAAATCTGAGGAAGGTTCTGATGCATGCAATACAGATTGTGGCAACCGTGTAGATTCGAAACAACGCAGTGTAACAGCTTGATCAACAGTTGAAACCAAATTTTGCAGGTACACAGAGTTGATCAGACTCTGCTTCCAGCACAAGTGGATAGCTTCGTTGGGTGCAGTCTCCACTGTGCTCTGCACCCCCCTGCAAATTAGTGAAAACCAATCAGAAGTTTTACATCTGTTCAGATGGTACACACACACACCTCGCATGTAGCGAGGTCGGTTTTTTGGAAGAACTTCGCTGGCGGAATCGGCAAGACACCAGTGAAAGTGAACCTGTAATAACCTAATGTACAAAAGGGCGGTCACTTCAGTCAGAAGAGGAATTCGGAGCTTGTAGAAGGACTTCCATAGCATCGTGGAAGCTCATGCGTTCAACCATCGCCCAAGTCTGATCGAATTCCCCCGATGCCGTAGCAGCCTTCAAGGTGTCAGATAGATCTTTGGCTAATTCATGGATCCGGGTGGTCAGCCTTGGTTCATCTCCAGGAGATGTCGTCTCAATGGGCACATTGTGAAAAGGATGGTGTCCATGTACAAGGGGAATCTCAAAATGATGTCGCCAATAGTCCGCTGTGCGCAGGGACCACTCCCAGTTGCCGGAGAGACCATAGAAATAGTGTTCAGGGTCACGACATCGGGAATGCCCTAACAAAGGAATTTCTTCAATGAATAGCTCCCTGGTGTTGTTGGAGTGGGTAATGACCTTGAATTGGATCTGGTGAACCACGCGAGAAGAGAACTGAGCACGATGGAAGTAGTTGTGTGTAGAACTTGAGTCTGTCGGAAATGGAACGCCAGGAGGTGCTGGTCCTGAATATGTATCAGAATGGGCCAGTGTACCCGTAGCAGGTGCCGTACTGTCAGTTACCAAAGGTGCCGGAGTAGGGTTGGTCGTAGTGTCGGGAGCTCCTGAGTGACATAGTGCAGAAGTCGAGGCGTCTGGTACTTGAACTGGGTCGGTAGGAGCGAGTCCACGAGTAGAGTTCGCAGGCCAAGACAAGCCCGCCACGGTCGCGTCTCGTTTGTGTTCCATGGGTGAAACTGTCACAAATACGAGAAATAGTGCAACAACGGCTGAAGCATCAAGAATTGCAGAAGAAAGCCAATCCCGAAATTGATAATATTCACAAAAATGAAAAAAGTGAAATCCAGTCCTCAATCAAGTGGGTCAGTTGCGACGGAGAAGCCACAGCTCCAAGTCAAATAAAATAGAAATCGAAAAATCCTTTGTGTTAGTGGGGTGTCAAGGAGGAATTGAAAACCCTGTAGCATGGTCTTTTTTGGCCGGCTAGTGCATCAGGGCAGGATCACACCGGAGCTAATTTTGTAGCATTTCAAGCGTAGTACGAAAGGCTGTCTGGTACCCGGGATGAGGAAAGAGGATTCGCGGGAATTGTACTGCCGAAGTCGCCACTCAGGTCGGTATGCCTCCAAAAGCTGCAAGACCGTCATATCATTGGAAACTTGGAATGTATCACCGTCCAAGTCGCAAAAGCGAAACTCCAGGTTCGAGGGATCAATTTGGATGTCCCATTGGGACCTCAATCTTTTGGAGATACAAAAGCGGAGTTCGGCAATTGGGATGAGGCCGGCTTCAACTGGTTCCATCTGACGTGACCAGGTAAACAAAGCTGCAAGTTCAAAGCCACTGACATGTCTAAAATTGGAGTTCACCAGAGCCATGTAGTGTTCACGGTCAGGTTCGCTTCGGTGAGTCAATGCCTGTAAGGGAGAGAAGTCAACCAAGATAAGGACAGGTCTGTTTGGAGGAGGGTTCACATCACCAGGGAGGCCTCGATGTCCAGCAATCCACCCAACGGTTCGTGTACCAAGCGGTGTCTCAATCGTAGATGTGGCGCGATATGGATTGGGTCGAGAAGAACGAGCCATTGCGTCGAATGTGAAGTATCGAGGATAAAGCGCAAAGCCCAAGCTGCAAAATGGGTTGGAATAGCCACAGGAACAAGCACAAAGTGTTAGAAATAAAAGAGAAACGGTGTACCTAGTAAATGGTCACACAAAGAGACGATGAATCACAGGTCTTTTTCCGCCGACAAAGAATGTGGTATATTACACACTTGAATCCGACATATCCATCGGGTCAATATCGTTCGCATCCAACGGACCATGTACTTGTTGAGGAGGGACAGCGGGGCGAGTGAGATATACAGTACGGTGTAGTGTTGCCGGTGGGGAAGACGGTGGTGTAGACCGCCAAGGTGGCCAATATAAAGAGGTAGTGGTTCCTTGAGAATGGTGTTGGGCGGAGCGTCCCCAGCATGACTGTAAAATATGGAGGTGGTCCGGTATCGCTTCGTACGGCTGTGAGACATGGACGTTGGAGTGTTCAGGGTGTGGTAAAACGGGAACAGTAGTTGCCGTAGGGGAGGAGGATGATGGTTGAATTGGTACATCATAGTATCTGCGCCAATGGTTAGCTGTAGTGCGCAAGGTTGCCTGGTCGTTGGTGAGGTGCATGTTCTCCAGGAATGTTTCCACTGGTTTCCACGTTTCAAGACCATCAAGTGTCCTTTCCACGATCCAAAGTTCATCTGAACGGTTAGACAAAGGATAGCTCAGCTTCTTGATGAAGACGGAGTGGACAGTGGTAGAGGTCGGAATCATTCTCGCTGCACGAGGAATATAGGATGCCGAGGTGGGATCATCCGGTGGCAAGTGTGAGGCAAGGCCATGTATGGATGTAGGTGGTAAACCGTGCGAGACCAATCGAGCAGGATCATCCGTGTTGGAGGTCATCATGTACGATCAAAAGAATATGATAGCGGGAAATACTAAACTGAAGCCAAAAGGCCGTGGGGAAGGTCAATGATGAAGGAATAAATAACGAATATCACCCACTGGAAAACGAGAAAAGGATGACACAAGGGAAAATCAGAACCGGGGTGGTGGACATCACAACGAATGTTGGTCTTTTTCCTCATAGACGTGAGCCGTGTCAAGATCCATCAAGACAGCTAATCACTCAGCGGCTTTAGTGTATCGGGTGGCCGTGACGAATGGATGTCCACGGGGAATCACTTGAACATGTACAGCAAAGCCAGTGTCTTGTGCATCTGGATGTGGTGTCAGCAGCAACGGAGAACACTCGCGGGTCGTGAAGGCATCGAGATGTTGATGAGTTTTCCATCTCGGGTAGAACCAATTCAAAACATCCAGAAGAGAATGAGGAAGGTCGTCAAGCATCTGAGCTCCTTGATCGGTGTCAATCATCATGTAGAACTCCGACGCTGGTAGGTGTATGGACCAGCGTTGTAGCAGTGTGTCGGTGACTACGGTTTTGAGGTCTGAAACGAAATGACTGCGAGCATAGTCCGGGTAGATGACCTTGAACGTCTGGAACAAGCTGTCATAGGTGGCCGTAGGAAGGTTGCCCGCGACATTGGGGGTCAAGATGTTGTAATAAGGGTTGCGTACGGCCAGTTGTTGCATCGGCTTCAGGTCCAACTGGAAAATAACCGGTCGGTGAGGTGTCGGAGGCGAAGACCGGTTGGGTGGGTGCCGGAATGACGTAGAGCCCATAGCGGAAGATGACGTCCTGGTTGGAGAGCGTGAGCGTCGTGTAGGTGAGATCCTCTCGTGGGACATAGCTCGCTGTTGGCAATAGCGGTCCAGGTGAACGCGGAGAGACATAATAAATGGCTGGCGGGTTGTGTGATACGACGTGTCAGAATTCAATGGGACAACAGCGTCCATGGTTCTGAAGATAAACAAGAAGAAAATTCCCAAAATGAAGGCCAACGGGTTGGTGAAACAGTAATACCGTACCGCAACGTACCTTTTCCTTGTGATTCGCATATGTCAATGGTCAGCCAAGTTGGTCTTTGATCTTATTCCACATAGAGCGAACATCTTCTTCAGACTTGCCCATCTTGGTCGAGATCACCTTCCATGAAAATCGAGATTTTTCGTCAACCTTCAGAGTGCGTAGTTTCTGTTTGTCTTCAGAGGTCCAGAGTGATAATGGGCTCGAGGAGCGGGATCGGGATTGGTCACGGCGGCGACGACGCTTGGCAGGAGCCTTTGGAGCAGATTTGGCTTTCTGTTTGCGACTTGGCGGTGATGGTGTTCTAGTAGAAAGCTTCGAAGGTGCAGGTAAAACATCAGGAGGCGGAGCAGCAACATGTTGGTGCGGCTCGGGAAGATGGGTTTC